GTTTTATTGATTTGTGGCAAGGGGCATCGATCTTTGATGGTGATGGCATTGAGTTTTTTTTAATTTATGTAGAGTTGTAGTTTGCTATCTTTTTTAGGGATGAATAAGATGGGTGTTTCTTATGGGCTGTTGGATTTTCGAATGAATTTTTTAGTTATATTTTCTTTTATTTAGGGTTTGAGGATTTTGAGGTGTTTTTTGTTTATTGGTTTTAATGGTTCTTAGATGGGTTGAGCTTTTGGTGGTATAGGGATTTTTATGTCTTTTTTTTGTTGTGGTGGTAGGGTGTCTTCTTTCTTTTTCGAGAAAACTTTGGTAAGATTTTGGAATTCATTAGGAAGTTTAGTGGTTTCTTTGATTTTGATTGTGTTATTGATAAATGTGATTTGTTTTTATTTTTTTTTAGGCCGTAAATAGCGAAGATAGGTTTTTGTTTTATGATTTTTTTAAAGGCTTTTGCGCTTACAATGGTGATTTTGGGTGAGTAGTTCATATGTACTTGATTATTTTTCTAATTGATATGGACTTTATGCTTTTTATGCCATAGCTTTCTTAGGTTTAAAGGTTTGGTGGTATTAATAATGTTGGTATTGATGATTTCTTTATGGTCTTGGATTTTTATTTTGAATTGAGTTATTTTTTTAATGGATTCTTTGGTTTTATTGAAGTATTTTATGGATTTAGAGATCTTTTTAGGATAAAGTGGAAAATTATTTTTAATTGTAAATTTGCGATTCATATGTATTTCTGTATCGCCACTATCTAGACATGCAAGGGTTTTAACAGGTTTCTGAGGATGGAGGTATAAGATGACAGGGATTTTAGTATAGGGTTCAAATGGTGTTTTAGTTTCTTTAGGGTTTAAACAGGAAAATGGATTTTGAGATACAAAGAAAATTCGTGATATTTTTTGAGGCTGGGGAATTCTTGAAGTGACAAGTCAGATCCTGCCTTGCTATATATCATAACTCACAATTAGGCCTATTCTTTTCTCTATTCCTCCTTAGCATCTTCTTGTGAATAATACCCCAAAAGAAATGTTATTTCGTTTTGGATGTTTTTATGAGTAAATCTTCGGATGTTCTGGTTTTTGGTGAGATGGGGGTTGTAGGGGACATGTCGGGTTGGTCCTCCCTGGAATTTTTTGTTTAGATAATTGTTAGCGAAATGTCTTTTTTCTTTATAGTACAGGTATAGTTTCTAAGCTCAACATCAGTTTTTTTCTTCTTGGGTTAGTCGTTTTCGAATGTTTTTGGTGGATTGATCTATAGATCCAGATCTGAAATAATTATTTCCCCAGGTTTGCTAAGGCTGATTAGTATTGCCGGTTCTTATTAGTCCTTTTAATACTGGGGTCGGGGTATTCTTCTTTTAAAATCCTCTAGTCGTTAGGTTTCGAGATTTTTTTTTTGTATCCAAAATTCGCCAATTATTGTTAAGGCGTTGATAAAGAATAACAAAATCATCGAAGTTTTCAAGAAACATTTCCTTGGTAATTAGGAATTCTTCTATTTTGATGTATAAATTATGTCGTAAATAAGCAATTTGGGCGGTATTATCGTAGTTCAAACATCTCATAAAACGTCTAAATTCTATCAAGTAGATGGAGAAGGGTTTATTGGTTTGTTTTAGGTTTTTTAATTTTCGTTTTGTGGTTCTAGTAAAATTAGGATTTTTGAAAACTTTTTCGAGTTATGTGGTAAACTCAGTGTAGGTATTTTAGTTCCATTCTTTATCATCGGTATTATATTTATTGAAGACTAATTCTGTTAAGTTTTTTTTAAAAAGATTGATGGTGTACGCAATCTTCTTTCTAGATGTAGCGAATTTAATAACTTCTTCTTCATATTTATTATTGAACTAAGCTAAAAAATTTCGTAATTTATAAGGCTTAGTGCCGTCAAAGGAGTCGGGATCTAGAAATTTAATGCTTGGGATAGTTACCAAAGTTGCTGTAAGCATGCTGTTTCTGAAATGTTTAAAAACTGCCATTATGGCTTTAATTTATTCAATGGTAAATCCTAATAGGGTGATGACTGTAGTTTCTTTTTCGACGTCTTTTCCCTTAAAAGACTTGTTTTTTGGTAAAACCGGTGCTGATATTTAAATATTAGGTTGATAGGGTTGCGAAGTAATAAAGTGTAAGAAATTGTATACAACCTAGTCATGATATCAAGGTAATACATAAATATTATAGGGTAAAAGTAGTGTACTAATGTGAATATAGATTAATACTTAAATTATTGCTTGGTTTCTAAATACATGACAGCGAATTTAGCAGTTTAAATAGATAATTGACAAAGAAAATAATAAAATAAATTGGACAAAAAATAAGTTTGTGAATTGGATAATCAAACATAGAGTATTGAATTGGATAGAAGATAAGTTTATAAACTGGATAATCGGATATAAAATATTAAACTGGACAAAAAATAAGTCTAAACTGGATATTCAAAAATACAAAATACTAAACTGGACAGTACATGATTCTACATAATAAACGAGTATATATAACGAAATATTTTTTCTAAGAGTTGCCAAGAGAGTGAGGGCTTTCCTATCTGGAACCCTTAGAATTTAAATGATAATTGTAATCTTGTACTACAAATTTCGAGGTCTAGATCTGGATACTTCCTTATTCTGGGTCTACAGTTTGTGTTGCGTCGTGTAGTTTTTCTTCCAACCACAATATCGCTTGGATGTTTCCTATGGTCATTCTGAGGGCTCCTCTGGCCGCCTGGATTTCTGCTTGGAGTTCATTATGCTGAGATTGCTTTGTTACAAATTTAATAAATTATATAATCTTAATTTTTGTTCAATTCAACACTTTATATATCTAAATATTTAGTTTATTTTGTTATTTTCTTTATTAATTATTTATTTTAATTATTATATTTATTATTATATATTTAGAAATTAAGTAATAATTTAAGTATTAATCTATATTCACACTAATATACTATTCTTACTTTATAACATTTGTGTATTATTTTGATATCATGACTAGTCCGTATACAATTTCTTACAATAATAATAATTTTTAATTTATTTTAAAATTTCATTAATTAATTTATTAATTTAGTTTATAATTTACTTAGATAATATTTAGTTTTATAATTAATTATTATATTACACTTTTTATTTATATAATTTTATATTTTTATCCTAAATATTATACTACCTTCTAAAAAATCTAAATATATAAAATTAAAAAATACAACAAAATGCTAAACTATTTTAGGAAACTTTACCAAAGAATCCTGGGACAGGTGTAACATCTTGATTTAAGAAATTTTTTTTTTTTTTTTTTTTTTTAATAAATTTAAAATAAAAATATTTTTAAAAATATTTTTTTAATAAATAGTATTTGAATTTAGATAAAAAAAGAATTTTTAGATATTTTATATTTAAAATATTTAAAATGAATATTTAAATCGTTTAAAAATATTTAGAGTATAAAGTAAATTAATATGTTAAATTACCATATAAAAAAATTATATTATTATAAATTAAATTTAAATAATAAGGAATTAAAATATTATAAGTTATAAATCTATTTATAAGATTAAAAATTTACAAAATAATAAATTTAAGTTTATCTATAAAATTAAAAATCTATTAAATAATTATTTTAAATCCATCTATAAAATTAAAAGTTTATTAAAAAATTATTTATAAATCCATCATAAACTTTACGGTTTATTAAAAAAAAAAAAATTGTTTATTTTTATGATAAAACCGCTTTGCTTTATTAAATCACAAAATTCTAAAAATTAAGTTTAAATTATTCTATTAATAGATTTAAGTCCATTTAAAATCTCGAAAAACCGTTTTACTCTACAGTTTAGAGTGGAGTGGTTGCGGATTAACCACTCCACAGTAACACACTAAATATTTTATTATCTAGAATTATTTTATGTAAAACTTTTGTAAATATGAATAGAATCTATACATTAAATAGAATATATTTATAAAATATAGACAATTATATAAGATGTAAATAATTTTATAAAATAAAAATAATTATATAAGATAGAAATGATTGTGTAAGATGGAAATAATTATATAAGATAGAAATGGCTATGTAGGATAGTAACTTTTGCATAAAATAGTAATCTCTATGTAAGATGATAACTTTTGTGTAGAATATAAGTTTTTCGTAGAATAAAACAGGTCCTATTTAGAAAATAAGTTTCTATTTTGTTTATCTTGTTTATCCTGCCATTAGATGGGCAGGATGGAGCGCGATAGAATTGTGTTTTTTTCCTTATGGAAATAAGAAGTATGTTTATTATATCAAAATATCTTTCCTAATTGGGTCAGTCAATATGGCTGGGTTGTGACAAAAATGTAATATATTTGAATATATATTTATTTTAAAAAAAATTAAAGAATTCTGAAGGCTATAGTAGCTGAGCAAAGTCATGTGACTGTGCCATGCCTGTGCTGTGCTTGGTAAAGTGATACCTCACATATATTACAATCTATTACCAGCAAAAGTTTTACACATTTGGGATCCAAACTACTATACCCTACATCTAAAACATAAATATACACTCTTGTAAACCTATAATACTTGCAATGAAATAGCTTCCATCTGATAGCGAGGCGCCAAACACCCATTTCCCCGAGAAATAAACAATATAAAATTCTCGAGGGGATATGATGCTAGATGCCACGCATGCTTTTGAACATCGCTTTTAGAAAACAACACAAACTGCGTGCCATTCTACGTCACAGGCTGGATGATTATATGGGAGCATCCGATTCCTGCACTAGAAAAGCGCAGACCAAAGGATTCCTGGTGTCACTGGGCTCCAGCGGAACGGCGTATGGCACCCGCTTCGTGTTTTGTCCCATATATCAAATGTTCGGATACCCCTCCGAATCAGTTGAGGTATGTAGAAATCGGATGCTAGTTGAGGCCGACTATTATTTTGGCGCAAAACCTGGCCCAAGTCACTACGTTATCATGCTGATGTCTCCAACTCATATAGGAGTTAATCCCGACAACCCCAGAAACGGCCAGGTTTTAGGCAAGTAGTGGTTGTAATAGGAAGCTGGGTCGATGGTTTCTCAGAAGACAATGTACTTGTGGGGGTATTAGTCAAGAGAGTTGATGTTATTGCTTGTGTACTTGTGGGTGATGAATCAATGCAGTCCCCAAACCAACCATATTTTGAACAAGTTGCTAGAGAAATAGAATTAGCTTTCACCTTAGTTTCATATCTGTGTAGTCTTAATAGTGGGACATACTCGAAGTTGTTGTTATGGATTCATTAGTCGTGGTTGTGATCGTGGTTTTCATCGTGGAAGTAACTGTAGTAGATGTTTCATCGAGGCAGCCGAACCACCCTGGGTTTTGGCAAGTCGTCGACCTGGTGGTCGTGGTTGTGGTTGATGTCTTCTTCGATGTAGTGGTGACGATGCTTTCGTTGTGGAACTTCCAGTTGAAACAATCTGTGCATTCTTCGTCCTCTGGAATACATTTCGGAACACTGTCGTACTTTGGCATGATGTCATCAATAACTGTCTTTATTCGATGCGAATTTCCATTAATACGCCAACCAAGGTCGTTGACAACATCATAAAGGCACAAGCTTCCCGTATGGCACTTTGTCTCCATCGCATAACCCCCGATTGAACAAAAGGAGGTAACGCCGTTACAAACACCCATGTAAATTGGGTCAGCGTTATTACCGAAGTGATAAACACCGTCTTGGCGGAGTTCCGACGGGGCTTTCGGTATACCCAACCTTCTCGCTGCTAGGGCTTCAGGTGGGGCTTCGAATGTAACCACCGGTAAGCCGTATGTCAGGCCTAGTAGGGAGGAGACTGCCCCACCCAGAGAGTGCCCTACAAGCCAAACCTGGGCGTCGGGGTAGAGACTGGTGATATTATAGTAGAGATTAAGTGCAGCTCGGTAATACCGGTTTTCCGCTTTGAGAGCGCTTGAGAGACACGGGTTGCTGCAGGAATATGTGCCTGTATAACAATCGCAAACTGTGTTCCAAAATGCGGAGACCCTTGCACAACAGCAGGAAAAGAAGAGGTTATCGTTAACTTTGTCGTTAGTCTTTGTTTCTTCCCCATAAAATATGGCGACTGAAGTTCCCTTGATGCTGATGATAACAGTAGAGTTTTTGTCGTCGAGGAAGACATGTCCACGCAGCCCGTCATTTTCCCACCCGAACCCAGCCGATTTGTTCCACGGAGTGCCGACATCCCTCCAGTCTTCGGTGGCAGGAATATGAACGTAGGCATTTGCGCTCATCTTGGCAAGGTTGAGTACTGTTTCATTATCCGTTATATCGGGGGCGGACTCTTGCTCAGTTGTCCAAGCGGAAAGTGGTGTGTCTAATTGGTATCCCCAATACCGTGCGGCAGCCAGCCGCCCTTCTACACTTTCTACCGATCTATCCCGAAGCCGAGAGATATCGATAAGGCGGGATTTGACCTGGAGACTTGGGTAGGGCGAATACTGTTCGTTTTCTACTCCCCAGATCAACTCGTCTCCAGTCACATCTAAACGTCGTAGGAGCTCGGGATACCTATTTGTCCACAGTCAAATGAGAGTGGATATCAGCAAATGGAATCATGGATGGTATGTAGGGGCGCCGGCGTACCTTTCCGCGCCGTGATGAAGGACATGGCGCAATTTCTGTGCCCCTATATCAGCGAGGTGACCGACGGAAACAAAGTACCTGGTAAACATACGAATGAACCTCCAATAGTACCCCGAAGCTTCACCCCATTTGGGAGGTCGACTATACCAGGTTTCTCTTCAGCTAAAACGATTTGGCCGGACCTCAGAGCCTGAACCGAGGATAATAGGGAGAGGGATATGATAAAAGTGCCTCTTAGGTACGGCTTCCCGCTGTCGTGGATGAACCTCATGAAGTACATGTTGGATTCTTAGGGTCAAATAAACACCGTCAGTTGTCGGGCTACGGTGGGAAAGGATTACTGTGTAATGAATATATAGGAGGTATGTACTTTAAACGGTTCCTAGGTCCAGGTATTAAATCTGACAAGTCGCCATATCAGCGGTCAAAGCATCGGCAGAGTGATCGCGATGGTTGTTTTTATGCAAAACTAGGTAAAGTCGTGAAGTTATATCAAGCTAAGCTGTTTATCAAGTAATGCTGGTATCTGAGGCGTAAGTATGTAGGTTGCTAGGGCCGGGTGCTCTGTCTTTGGGCAAACACCTGGTTGTCACGATGACGAATCTGGATTGTCGTCCCGTGGCACATGTATGACAACACGGAGATAGTAACATCCGCATCCGCATGAGCTCTAGTATCGATTTTCTTCGTCCAAAACACAAAGGCCAGTACCACTTAGCCTTCAGGTGATCTGAGCTTCCCAGTGGCTACTAAATAATACCTAAGTTACCTCGTAGGAAGTACTTAATTCCTGCGGCTTCTTACCGCATATTTCTTATCTTTTACGGACATTTTTATCCTAGCATAAATAGGCTATAGTCTGGACGGCCCGGAGGTTGGTCCTGCTTGTTAAACACAACTATTCTTAAGCTCTTTTATGCCACCAAACCACCAGCCTTTAAATGAGCATGGCATCTTCGCTTCAAGCACAACAATCCCTTGAGACGGGTAAGCTACTAGTTCCTCTATCTAGATGTCGAGTGATACAACCTATTTTATGTTGGCAAAGCGTACCCCCCTGATCAAATCACATGTGGCACCGACCTCGATATGCATACTTTCTTTTATTGGCCATTTTTGGGTTCCCAAAGAATGGGGGTATATGAATTAACATGGAACCAATGCACCCAGAAAGCACATCGCCCCGGCCAACTAAAACCCTTGGGTCCGTTCGGTCTTTCACTCGTCTTGAATCGCAGAGCCCACCTACTCGTTCGCGATCAGCCACCCTTAACTCAACCGTTGGCCCAGGAGTATCATCGTCGTTTGGCGCGTTTTCGGAATCGAATTTCACTTACGACTCAGTGGATTATGTCGAGAGCTCCCATCTTACGGGATTAGGGGACCCTGATGATCGTATGTGCGATGCTGTGGATGAATCTCTTCCCCAGTTGGAACTTCCGGTGGAAGTAATCGAAATGACGGATAGGTAATAATTGATATGAAGTCGTTTCATTTGTCGATCTGACCGAATTAGTTTTATAGAATCTCTATCGGCAAAAATCCACCCTGCACCGGTTTCTATCGATTTTCTAAGCACTATGTTTCAGGATTTCTATGAAACAATCACCACACCAATATCCGTGCATGTTTCTAAACTCTTTAGTTCACACGATTCACAAGCTTCTGACCAACTGTTGGTGTCGATGAGTGAGATCGCGCAGAGGAAAAAAGACAGGAAAAGAAGAGATACCCTCCAGGTTGCGCTGCAAGAGATGGTAGAGAAGAGAGTTACCGAAGCTGTCTTTGACAGGATATGGCGCCATTATGGAGCTGAAGATGAAGCAAGAGATGAAGCTTTGAGGAGCAAGACAATGGCACTAGCGGTCGTTGGGATCGGTTTAAAGGAACTGGGGCTTGAAGATAACATCAACGTAATGGACTTAAGGCCTGTTTGTGAAGGTGAAAACTGTAGTCTAGGCTACAAAATGTTCTATTTCCCTTTCCATATCACTAATCAGGATTTTATAGCGCTTCGGGATTTGAATACCACTAAATGTCCCCGCGACAAACTTCGTCTCCTGAAGAGAGCCCACAAGGCAATAGTTGGTTAGCTTTCTTCCATTTAAGCAGAATATTGAAATTGGTCCTTTATGACCATAAAAAGGTACCTACGATCAGATGACCACTAACTTTTGTATCAACAGATACCCTAACTAGTGTGGTCCCATCCACTTCGTCGTCAGCAGATCATATACTGCCGATATTGATATATTCTCTCATCATTTCACCCCCCAGTGTCCATATCGTTTCGAACCTCTTGTATATTCAAAGGTTTAGATACCACAGATCGATAGATGGTGAAGCTGCATACTGTCTAACAAACCTAGAAGCAGCTGTCTCTTTTTTAGAGACTGTGGACATGGGAACACTCGCTGCCGATGAATCGCGCGTGACAGCCTCTGTAGAATTGGAACCAGGCAGGATATCAAGTGCCTCGTTGCTTCCCTATGCTGAACATACAGGAAATAGGCCCCTTGCCGTAATTGCACCGGCCATCACTGATACGTCTCCGGCCAATGCTCCGCCCAGGTCTGAAACTAGAGCCCAGAAGGAAGCCCCGGTAGTCCCTTCGATGACTGGTGCAACCCGACGAATGACTTATCTCACCCCGGTAGAATTTGCAACATCAGCAGCTACAAGTGCGGTGAATACCGCTGACCAATCTTTGAAAACGATTGGCAACAGTTTAGAGAACTCTTATAGGTTCTTGTTTGGGAAGCTCTCTGATAAACGAACGGACCTTCCAAAAACTCTGGAAGATGTCCGAAAACTTGTTGGGACACCAGTCCAAGACTTGGAGCCTCCAAGAGATGCCGACATCTATCGCCATCCGTATTCCGAGGGTCTGAAAACAGTGGGCTCTCATAGTGGTGATGGTCTCGTCACTTCGATGAGGCAAGTCGAAACCTCCGATACTAGCAACAACACAAGGGAAGAAACGGTCAAAGTTCCACAAGATCATGAAATTATTACAGGCACGCCGCTCAGCATCATTGAACCTTCGACTAGTCAAGGAGCAGCATATACGCCTGTTGCAGAGAGTGTTCGGAACCTGTAAGCCGAACCCCGTAGAAAAAGTTTTCGCCCCCCCTCTACGAATATGAGGCCACACACCTAACAAACGCTTGTCGCTGCCTGTGGTTGACATCAACAGAGGGAGCCATCTAGGGAGATTCGCTGGCAACATTAACGTAATCCGGTCCTTTTCAAGAGGCCAAATGCCTAAAACGCCCCCGCCAGGTTCAAGTGGTACAGGCTTCGATTCCATAAATAGCTCATCCGGGACACCTCAAGATAAAACCGTGACAAAGATTGATCCTCCAATAGCAAGATTCCTGGATACAGAAGTGGCTGACTTGAGAATCAGCGACGTTGATTTGCTCCTTCAGGATTACCGGAGATTGGCTGCTGCCCTCAAAAGCGCGGGCGCATTTTGATAGCGAAGCTTGCTGATTGGTGTCTACATACTTACTTATGTATGTACGATTTTCATACCTGTGGCGAGCACGGATCCTCTCGGGTTCGTTGGATTGTAATATGTTTGCTTCCATCGAATGGGTTGTATTTTATCTCGAACCAATATATGTGCCAATTAGCCACACTATTCAGTTTTTTGTGTTGGGCAAGTTTTCACATGTTGTATTCTCGCCCTTGCTCCGAATTGCCTTCTAAGCCTCATGCCTAGAAGATGCTTCGTGTTTATGGGAAGTTCAGGAATCAATCGGGATATACGTGTTTGATTGTTACGATTCTATTCTACAACCCTTGGCAGTACGCCGACTCCGATGATTAGAAACCTACATGCTCAGAATCTGGTCGCTCCTTAATCTGTTTCGCAAATGCTGGATTATTTGATAACCCCCGAAGAGTTACAGTCCTTAAAGTTCTATCGCAAACGACGTTCGATCCCGAATAAAGAACATCCCGGCGATACGAAGAAAGACTCGAAGTACACCGCACCTTCAAGACGTGACGATGAGCTTAAGGCATCGATAAGGCTTAGTGGCAGGGTCTTTGTCGTGGGATCCATTGTTCTCACAATTGTTGATAGACTTCGACTTAGGCTTCATCGCTTAAGCAAACCTCGTTTTTGGTATGAGTATTTGACATCCAATTGTTCTTGTAGCTATTGACACGGCCCTGGTGATAGGAGCGGGCTAGGTGTAAGGATCCCATTGTCATTATCAATATTGCTACTTCTGCATCGGTTTCTGCATCAAGTCGTAGTTCGCCTTCAGGGAAAGCTGCGGCAGTCTCCGGGCGAGCCTTCACCCCATATTCTACGTTCTCTCAGAAATACCTTACTTTCGCCAATAACGCCATCCACCGCGGCTGCCCTTTCCGGAGCGGCATTAATTTCTATTCCATCCAAGAATGCGAGATTGACGATTTCAATTTATGTATTTACAAAAACCGTGGAGTACCTATCAAACGCGCTTCTTGTTTCGGACCGGGCGCCTTGGGTGAGTGGCAATCGAAAACTATCTACTTATAGGCGAACCATTAGGTTCTAGCTAACATGTATTTATCTCCGACAAAGTGGTTTGGAAGCTGGACTCTCTTCCCATTTGCCCTTGCCCAGCTGTTCCGGGGCCTCATCGACGGAGATGAGAGTATCCCCTTTGTAAGTTGTGATTCTCTAGACGAGTTCCATATGGGGACGTTTAACGTCGACTGAACTACGCCTTATAAAACCACCAAAACGCGAGGCGACTTTTGCTAATTTCACCTATTGGTGTTTAGATTTATCGAAAGGCCTTGATGAGTTTCCCTACGTCGTATATAGATCACGTTCAAGGCCACGCAATGGTCCCCCGGATGGCTGACGTTGCTCGCCTTCAGTTCCCGTAAGTAAGTCGCAACCTATCACGTGTCTATCGGGAAACTAATACCTTTCTTTCCCCCAGGACTTTCCAATCAACAGTTGTGTTCCCTCGAAAGGAACTAGCGAGCGATGGGATGAAAGCCGTGTTCCGGGAAGCCCACCCCGCGATCCGCCATCTTTCATGTGCCATATCGCATCCAAAATCAGTCTCCTGCGCCGGGGCATGGGCTTTATACTCTTTACGTCAGTTCCAGAAGAATGCTAGAGCGTTTTCTGTTTTTTACTCTATCTTGTTTTTGTCCAATTTTAGGTCCTTTCGGGGATCGATATTGACAGCTATCTCTGGGCTCATATACAAGACGATTCGGACTTCAAGTTTTACGACATTTGCAGTAGCTACGTCTTGGTCCGCGCTTTGTCTTTGCCAGAGGGTGCTCCCAAGAAGGCTTCTTGGACCTCAGATCTTTTATGTCTCAGGTTTCCTTGGTGGATTAACGGCTTTGGTTGACCGTACGCAAAGTCACATTTTGTTCCTCGACGCAACTCGAAGCGCTCTTCTATCATGGTGTAGGACAAAGAGGCGGCCTGGATATTTACGGAGAATACCGTCACCGGAAATTCTTCTTTTTATGGTGTCAATTGCAACCCTCAACATCCTATATGACCTCCAGCCGAAATCGATTACCAGTAAAGGGGCGAAGGAATTAATTGAGATACTAAGGGGTCCACGCCGGCCAGCGGAGGGGGCTTCGAGGGTGTCACCAGCCCGTCAACCTTGTGCAATAGCCATAAACGAAAGGGAATTGAAACCGGCTTAATGTCTAAAACTTGGGGGCTGGGAAGGCGGCCAGATAACCAACCTTGTGAACGGAAAGATTAGATACATGGATTCCGCACGGACCCAACGCTCAATAAATAAAACTTGTGAGGCCTGCGTCTTCTATTGCTTCACCACATCCATAATGTTTTGTAAGGTAGAACTCTAGAATTGAGAATGTCGTATTCACTTTGCTTTATCCAGACCTCATTTGTGCTGGTTAGCTTCCCAAAGACACTCGCACCTTTCCATACTAAAACTTGAGGGTCAAGCTCGCGCGGCGGGCTACTAATGGTAAGGTTTCCAAGGTTTCCCTTTTGTCGGATCAGCCTTTATTTGTCTAGTTAGCAACGACCTCCAAATATCAACAAGTCCGTTTTTTGAATCATACCTTTCTTCAAGCAAGTGATTGAGCCCCGCTGTAAGACTGCCACCGCCGACGAGAAGAATTCCGGAGAAGAAGTCTTTACTTCGCTTTTCATCACCTTTCGCCGCGTATTTTATGCTCTCCATTATTGCAAGATCCAAAGGCAGCATAGGGAGGGCTTCGATCTCCGGCTCTGAATCACCTGGGTCCGATCCACCGGCTTTGCTGTTACTATTCCCGATGATTGTTTGGTTGGCTCCCTCTGGTATATCTAATGCCTCTTCTGGCACGGGCGAGCCTCCGTGTGGTGTCTTTGGGGTACTTTCGAGTCCTCCTGCTGGCACCACCAAACTAGTGCTCGTGAGCCGATTGGATACCCCCAAAGCCGTGTCATCTGTCATTTCGATGTCCTCATTCATGGTTGTTGGTGCAGTTGCGGTAGCGGGGCGGTAGAGGGAGCTCTGTGCCAGAGATACGGGATCATTCGGGACATCATCATATAAGTCATAAGACCTCTCCCATAGTGATCTTCGCCCTCTAAGCTTATCGGTTATGTCCAAGATTGCAGGGTGGAATAGGCTGAATGGCGCTAGATATACTTCATCGTAGGTCTTAAAGCCGTACTTGATAGTTTCTTCCCCTGGCGCACGAACGTGAAAGTTGTGGAATTGAACAACAACATCTGCCTCGTTTAGAGTTGTATATTTAGCCTTAAGGTCTTCTGCAAGGAGATAATCGTAGCGACGCAGAAGATTGATGTCTGAGTACGGAAAAGAATTCGTAAGAATCATTTGTGTGAAAGTCGTTGTTACGTCGTCGCCACCAAACTTGAGATTCAACCTTGAATCTGGTATCACCATTCCTTCTTCAACACAGGATATTGAGGTTTTCTGGGCGCCGATGTCGACAATACAAGCGGATGAGAAACCGGCTCCGTATGTGGCGGCCACACTCTCCTGTTCCGGCCGTTAGTGCAATATAGAAAACTAGTATTGATAGAGCTGAGAATACCTGGAATAGGCAGACCTGGGCGAATCGGAACTCTCGAAGCAGCAAATCTAACATTTCCGTAACGTAAATCCTGTCGTATAGATCAGGTATTACGAGAACTGCTGACAGCACCTCATAATCCCCTGGCCCTATACCGAGCTCCCTCATGAAGCTTTCCCGCAGGATTACTGTCACATCTTCATGCCACCGTCTTTTTGATACGTAGTCGTGTTCATTGAAAACCCCATCTCGTAAGGGCCAGAAGAGCTTGTATCGCGGAAGGGAATTATCGGCGATGTGTAAAGCCTCATGCCCAATAAAATGCAAGAGACTGGTATCTACAGGCGTCCACTCTGCCCGGTATGGGTCATTGTGTTCTTTGATGCTTTCCGGAATGTACTTCTTGTTATGATTTATAACCCCTTCCCTAGAATTTGGTAAAACCCTACGCTTGTTTTGTCGCATCTGTGTTTTCAGCTCTTGTGATATCTCGTTGAACACAACTTGAAACGAAGACTCAACATAGGGAGGCTCTCTTTCAGCGAGCGAGGTAGATTTCCTGCTGCTCCCTCTTGTCCTTCTTTGGGGGGTACTGTCGCCAATATCCTCCGGGTCGTCCTTTGACTCATCCTCTGTCCGAAGTCGCTTGGGACGCGGATGAGGGTCTTCCTCCCACTCGGATTGTGCGTGCTGGCGGGCAATGACGTTTGGTATTGTTTTTGGAAGGGCGTCAGATGCACGACCAATCCGTAAATTACGGGATCCAGGGTGTATAATAATCACCCTTGAACCCCATACCCCCGGGTGTTCTTCATCCTCCTTTCCATCTCCGCCGACGCCCTCCTTTTCAGGCTCACCATCTATTATGAGGCCACGATCTTTAATCTCTTTTTCGGATCTGGGAGCTTCACTTCGCTGTCTCCAAACCAAAGCTTGGTCATCGCGTTTCAAGTAATCACTATCAACGCGTTAGCACCAATCACAACGACTGAACACGGTCGGGGGGGAGGGGGGAGGGAGAGAGAGTTATGCATACGTGTAGAAATTCTTTTGATTGATGGGATATACAACGGGCCACGAATGATTCTTTAGGTTGTTATCGGTCCTCGCGAGCCCTGGTCAAGGGCTGGATTAGCTCCCATTAAAACAATCCGGAAGAACGTTATTCATGTGCCATACCTTCATCCTTTTTGGATGGCTTATTCGTCTTTCTCGGCGGCATTCTTGGTGGAATTTGGGAGTTACAAGAGGTGGTTGGGACGAAGTACAGTTTAGAAACTTGGTAATTAGTTCGCCATGAAGCAAATGGCCAAGCCTGGTTACGAGACTGTGGCCAAGCGTTGTGGTTTAATACCTGAAAGTGATGAGTTGTAAGTTGAATTCTGAGGCAGGTGTAATTTGGGTTTAGGACTAGGCAATAGCTATAGCCAGGAGGCAGAATTCGTTGATGAACTTACAATGTACTTAACTAAGTAAGTACTTTATATCAACAGGTGTTACAAATTATAATATACGCATAGAATTACTTCAATAATTGCTTAGATTTACCCACAATCGCCTTCCGGATATGGCAAAAGCCGACTATGGCTATGGTTTGTTGGTACTGTCATTGTCAGGTAATCTAGATAGCACGCGGGTGAGGTTTGGAGAGCCAATGAGATATTTAGATATTTATATGAGGTACCAAAGGTTAATTCAAGCAATACGTCCAAGTTCATTCGTTCCAAAAGTATTTTATGAGCATGGAGTCGTCAACATCCTCGCACGAACTTGACACTATCGTCCTCAACTCTAGCCCGAGCCATATCTTTAGTAAGCTAATATCGCTGTTTAATATCTGGTGTCCCTGCTGTGCCCCGATCTGCCTTAGTATTGGCAGGCTGCTTTTGAATATATCGATATTAGGGTCCAGCCTTCTACCTATACCCTCAAGAAGCAATATGCTCACAACCACATTGATGAAGTCTCCCTCTAGACGAACATGATGCGAGCGTATCATCGACATAACCTCCGAGAGAATATCTGCAATTTTTATCTTCCCAAGCGTGAAAGTCTTATTCTTGACCCCAAGTACTAAATGTTGCATTCGAAGACAAAATATATCCTTGTCTCTCACGGAGCTGGGCTGGCGACATCGGCTCACCATCAGCTCACCCGCTCGGTACCCATCGAACTCGGCTACGGCGGTGAATAAATCTAGGAAATTCCGCCTATTTATGGGAGATAGCTCTGTAACCAGCCCGGTATCGATAAAGATGAGTTGGAGCTTGAAACCCTCATCATTTAGTTTAGAAAGCTCGTCCCGCCATTTGGCTGGGTTATCATTTAAGGGCCGGAGACGCGAAAGCACCTCCTCTGTTACCTGGAAGGGGCTCTCATTGCGCTTGCGCTCTTGCGCCTGCATTTCTCCCGTGGAATCTAGATGATGATGAGATGTTGTTGTTGAGAACGGGAGCGAGACTTGTGGGAAGGCAGGGGGTGGTGTTGGCCTGTAAAATCGTATTAAAATATTCCCAGGATGGAGATCTGCATGTGCAAAGTTATCGATCAAAAGCATATGGAGAAAAGCGTCCAGGCCCATGTCCGCTGCTTGCTTCTGGAAAACACCACCACCATTTTTCAAGAACGCTTCTAAGGGAATCCCCAAGGCGAATTCTTCCACCAGAACCTGCCGGGTTGAGAAGTTCATGTATGGCATCGGAAACGTAACTGTGTTTCTATTTTTGAAGTTATCTCGAAACCGAAGCAGGTTATTTGCTTCAATGCGAAGGTCAAGTTGCAAGCGCATCATTTCTCCAAATTTATCTACTTCGTCCGGCAAAGACAACCATTCGAGAGTCGGTAGAGAGTTAATTATATTCGCGAAAATCTTCATGATGCGAAGATCTCGATGGACAAGCTGTTCAACATAGGGGTGTAGCACTTTTATCGCAACCCAATCACTTGGAGCCTTAGAGGGCGTAGGTTTGACAAAAGTATCTAGCTTGTTGAGCAGCTCCTGGGCCGAGTGCCTTAATGATAAAGGGGTTGTCGACCTTGAGCTTTGAAGCGATGGTGAAAGATCCCGCCTTAGTTTGGCGCGATACACTTGAGCAATAGCACCCACCCCCAGTGGGGTTTCTTCAAATTCGAGAAAAAGTGTATCAAAAGAACGGCCGCTGAATGCTTCCTCGATTATTTCTTTTGTTTTTGCAAGGGAGTGAGCTGCAACATTTGAATGGAGGGTAGACATTATGAAACACATCTGCATAGGAAATATATCTGTCCTTGAGGCGGCCCATTGTCCTAACTGGGGGGCCCATGCATGTTAGTTTAAAGATATATACGGCAGCGAGTTTATGTTTTACTAACTTTGATAAACGTCGGACCAGCCATTTCCATAGATTTGACAAGATAGGAATACCACCAGAGGGTGCCGGCTCTTTCCCCATCTTGAAGAGGTAACCTAGGGCCTATCCATATTGCTGGCATAGTGATCATTACTGGAAGAAACAACAAAGCAAGGTGAAGAAACCGCAGCCCGGTAGCTACTGGCTCTAGAAAGTAAGTGTAGATGTAGTATCTAGCATAACTCAGCGTGCCCCATAGAGAGAGTCTGTCGCCCATCCTCTTGTGTTGTGTTTCTTCCTCTGCTTTTGCAAGCAGGCGTAGTTCTTGAGTCGGTGGTTCGGCATCCTCGGCCTCAACAGAGCTCGAGCTAGCCGGAGATAGAAAAAGGAGTGATAGGGATGTAAGGATAATTGAGGATGGGAGTGATGGATGGATTCTAGAACTAGCTGAAGGTCTGCGTTTTGGCAGCCTCCGTATAAATGGCATCCAACTTGGGTTTTTTAGAGTTGACCTGATACTAGGATTTATGATTGAATGGGGCCTTCCAGTCCACCACAATACTGGCGTCGATTGCTTCAAGGCATAAGTGCTTGTGGGTTGTGAGGTTCGGTGTAAGCATCGGGATACCACCTTGTATCCCGATGCCATTGCAAAGTCAGGTTCCTGGCTGGTTCGCGAAGTTCGAGCGGAGTGGAACCCGAGTTGTAATGGGCAGAAGAAATTAAGTGTGTAAGATTGGTTCAAAGGAGACCCCAGAATTAAGGAAACCAGAGGTTCTCAAGACCCAGACCGAAATGGTAATTGGGATTCATTGGCGATGATTGATTGATCTGAGAAACGATATTACTGATTGATCACGGAGACGTGACTCTCAAAGCTGGCGTTTGAGAGAGGATATCAAGTACATACCTTATACATAATAGGTACCGGTCATACCTAACAGGCACAGTGACGTTCCGGTCTTTGCTAATTCCGACTACGCTGTATTGCATTGAGGTCCGATTGTATGCATTCGTGTAATAGGTGCCTGCTTCTGTATGCCTGCGCTGGATTGGGCCTTAGCCGAGGCTTTGGCGTCAAGCACACCAAGATGCTGCCAATTAATATTATTTCCATATATACTTACTAAGTACTTACCTACTAACTCAGTACCTACCTCTAAGTACCTACCTAACGTGCATACATGTATCATCACACCGCAAAAGACCACATGCTTGCTTCTGCATCTCCTCTGGTAAACACAGTGAAGCCTCTAACAGCTCCATGAAATCCGTCCGGACAGTATTTCGCATCGTTCCTGCACTCAGGAGTCTTGCGTTTTCGGGGGTCCTTCTAGAACATACGACATATACGACTACAGAATTCGGTGTTTGGCCAAGGCTCAGAGCCAACGGCCTTGCGACACAAGCGTTCCCCCTCACGGGCTTTTATCAGCGTATATATACCTACCTACATACCTAACTACTTACCTAACTACCCTGGTGGCTCCTGACTTATGCGGTTGGTCCGTTTTACTTATGTTTGTAACAACGTTTTTTGCGTTCCTTTTCTCTTATAGTTTTGCTCGAGCACCCACAAACGCCATCGGATCATCCTGCGTACTATCCGCCCAGTGGTAGAGGTCATCATATACAGAAAGCAGCCTCAGATCTGACACCACAAGTCGGCCAAGAGAACTATCCGACCCGTGCTCAACTTGTATTTGGAAGCCGTCTCGTGGGGCCTCTGCGTGTGCGCACCCATAATGCGGATGATAAAGCGCAGATAATAGCAGGTGTTTCAGTACCGCCAAAACCCAAAGAGCCAGACAACTGTTGTATGAGTGGCTGCGTGAACTGTGGTACGTATGCTACCGGACATTTGCGATTTTTAAAAACCAAAGCTTGAAAAAAAAAGTATAAGCCCGAAACCTAATGCCATTACGTCTTTCGCAGTTTGGGATGTCTTTCGCGAGGATCTTGAAGAATGGGCGGCTGCCAATACCCGGGCGCAAAAGGCCCTTAAACGCCAATCTGGAGGTGTTTTGCTTTCGATGGTACCTGGGGGTAGGGCTGCCAGTTTGGGAAGCGTCGTGAACGGAGAGTTTCACAAAGATAACAATCAGAGTGAAGGTCGGGACGTCATCGCTGGACCGAGTCTGTGGGAGGGTTTAGATGATATTCCGATTGGTATACGAGTCTTTATGGATACTGAGAAGGCTATCAAGTCTAGGAATTCTCAAAAGAGCAAAGCTTCAAGTGCCTTTCATGTCGGTGAGTAGGTAAAAATAGCCTTACAACAACAATAACAACAACAACCGCGGCCAAAGTTTTCCAACTCGATTCGTCGCGATAGTTCCTAAAAAAAAAGACTGAGTGTACTGCGAATATCAAGCTTCTTAATCTACATCTACCCCCTTCGCTCTTAGTTCTTTTTTCGCTTGATCGATCTCCTAATTCCAAGTTAGTATCAATATGGTGCTGTTAGAGGGGTTCAAGGAGCGTTAGTTACTAGTATCAATTCCCTGTAAGCGTTCTCCTTGTCTTTGAAAGTTAAGATTCCCCATCCGAGGGTGAACAGTAGGTATGCCCCGAAGGACACGAGTAACCAAAATGGAAACTATATGATATAATTTTGTCAGGTATTGAAATAGGAGCCAAGGTGACTATGGCAAACCCACCACTGGAATAATTTGTTCTTGGATAACCGGCGGGAACGGGATCAACTGCAAGTAGCAGGCAAGATACAGCTGGTGGATGGTCAGCTAAGGAGAACCAAGGGTAGAAGGTTTGGATGTCAATAGTGGGAACAAACCGATGAGAACAACAAGCCCCCCGAAACCGTCTGCTGGGCGCGGGTCATGGCTGCCGAGTAGAATTGCGATAATATAAATTGCCGGGCTAGGTGGGATGCTGTAATCAATGATTACAGTATGTACTCAAGTTAAGTGATATTGTATCGTAATGTCGTATGCGATTGGAGAAACTTGCTGCATTGAGTGTATGGATTTTGGTCCAAAAGGATGCTCGTGTCCTTTGCGCGCGAATTCCACCACGTATCACCCAAACAACACAATATTCTGAGCCTTGGCACCTGTGATTTCATTTGCATTTTTGAATTTGTCGGGATTGCCAGGTGCTTCAGGCTATGTAAGTACTACAACCGCCACGTCGTCGATTATCACTATTCACCGGTCTCGAATATTTGCAAATGTATCCGAACCAAAAGCAGCACGATTCATAACTAATCGTTGACATAATGACGGGCTCTCTAACGGCCAGCATTCTGCCTCAGTTAGCGGAAGCGCTCTCCGGTTCTCAAACTTTGGAAGAAGGATTGATTCTGAAGTTAGCTTCAACCATCCGAGGAGACGCTTGCAATGAAGACACTATGCGGCAGGTTCTAGAAATGCTTGCCGACGCCGCCCGCCAGGGTTAATATCCCGCACTGGCCATCTCTTTTAGGTTTCGGTTTGCTGAGGGCGAGATATTTAGTTGAGTGGCGAGACATATTTGGGCAGGCGGGGCTGCTTGCTACTTGCTCACACAGTCTTCATCCAGAAGAACCTGAAAATACCTTAAAGCAGAAATTAAGGTTGATAGGAAACTGCTGCGCAGACAATGGTTGTTAATCCCACTACAAATGAATGCCAATAAATAGCTGACCCCCCCCCAGATTCGAATCGCGACATCGTCATTGAAACCGAATGTTACGAGAAGCTGACCTGCGTCACCGCCGCAGCGTTGCCACTACAGCCTTTAGTGATGGTCGTGATATTTAACTTCATGAATGAATATGGTATATTATTTCTGCTGAGATCGCGCGAACAAACCAGTGCTGGCTTCTAACACCTACTTGACTTTAGAACCTGCCCAAAGGCATGCGTTTAAGCATGGCTTAGTGGATCTCGTGACCAAAATACTCCACGAAGAAGATAAAAAACAGCTTCTTGTCATAGAGTATGCCCTCCGGTGCCTAGAACTGGTTCTCCAATCAGGTTTGTACTCTCCGTTAACTTCTAAGCGTGGTCTACCCCCTTGGATTAATCGGTTCGGGGTTTGCATTTAGCTAACGGATGTATCTTTTAGATATACCTCTTGGTGACAAAGCTAGCGGGCTTATTACTTTGCTACTTGACTGGGCGACCTATCCAACCATCCAGTTTGATATTTTCTACATCATCTTAAGCTGTCTGCTTGCATTGCACAAAGAAGAGTATACCGAGGCATTCAACTCGGATCCCAGCCCAATTTTAAATTACATCAAGTTGATGGCGAGATTGCAATATTGGGAGGATCAGTTATCTAATAATCCGGAGCTCCCGGATGAGATCGATAAAGAAGACGTGACACGACTTATTCGCAGTTCCCGAAGCTCCACCATTACCACCGTATCCGAAATATCTGCGTCCGAATCGTTTCAGGATCAATTCCCTGCCGGATCAGCATTTTTAAATTCAATAGTTCAGTTGCTTGCTTCGAGTGACTCAAACCTTCTGACATGCGCAGCCTTGATCCTAGGCAACATGGCAAGAGACGCTGAAACCTGCAATGTGCTGGTACGCGAATATCAGCCACACCTATCTCTGGTGAACGTTCTGAAGGAACAAACCCAGATTGGCGTGCTACATGCAGTAGGTGGTGCTCTAAAAAATCTCGTCATTGGTTCCCCAGCTATCCGGGAGTCAGTCATTCAGGCAGGGATTCTTCAATGCTGCCATAAATTTTATCTTGCTTCCGTGATGGTGGAAGTACAACATATGGGGCTTAGTTTGATTCGAATATTGGTAGCCGCATCACGTTCGTATCTAGTCTTCCCACATTGGTTTCCGCTACTAACTTTCGTTTGCGTTTCTTACCTTAGCTGGAAATGCGGAATGTCTGTTTCTACCGCTTGAATACGACGCTAGCTTATCTGCGATAGAACATATACTTCAATTATACACCAAAAATACAGAAGTCCCAATCAGGATGGAGATTGGTCGAATAGTAGTATCGATTTTAAGGGAAGCGGCAAAGCTGCCCTCTGCTCACCCGACTAGGATTTCCCTTCAACACAAAATTAGTGATATGTCTCCTCTCATTCTCGAGCCGGTGATTGATATGTTAATCCAAGACAAATGGCCAGTGATAGCTTCCGAGGGCTGGTTTGCACTGGCTTTGTGTGTTCAAACTCCGAGAGGGGCGAGCGCTGTAGCGGATCTTACACTCCCGGAGAGATTTTTCCAAGTCCTTAGACAAGCCATCTATCAAAAGAGTGACAGATCAAATTTCCCAGAGCTCACGCCGCCAGAAAAATCACGCCCAGGTCCTGAGCGTCTCGATTCAAATGCAAGCATGCAATCTCAGAAAGACAGGGAAAATGTGTTCATTTTTCTATCAGGATTCCTCAAGCATAATGTGAGTCTAAGATCTGGCCAAATGCCCCCGCCTTTCTAACCCATCAGCAGACATTTGAAGCACCACGAAATTATACAACACTGTTTCAGCAGTTCCTCGACGGCCAGGAAGTCACTGATGCTTTAATCAAAGAGACATTGGGCGTAAATTAAGAGCTCGCTTGTAGCTTATATATGTCTAAATTTAGTTGGATAAATCTTAGGGCAGTTTCCATGAGTGTACACAACTACCGCGCCCGAAGGAAAAATTTAGTTTGGAGTGCTGAGGAAATTGAGTGGGCATCTGGCTACGGCTAGGCGAACGTAAAAATGCATCAAGGGGGTTGTCTTCTCCGTATCAGCGTTAGCCGGTGAGCGGTCAGTTACGGAGACAAGGTGGGTGGGCTGATTTGTGTATAGTTTAGAAGTTACTACGACAAAGAAGTGTCCAGGAAATGAAGCCTCGTGGCGACCATGCAGGAGTGTTAGTGTAACATACATTGAGGGCCCTGGCCCTCGAGAGTTGTCTAGAAATGTAGAGGGAAGCCTACCTAAAAAGGTAGAACAAAGAAACAGATATACGTGAGCTTTATACATCTGTTGAGACAAAAGAGAGGATGTGTAATTTGCCGTAAGGGTATGGCAAGCAGTGAGGTGAAGTGATGAGGGCGTCGGGATCCGTTTGTTAGTCAAGAACACAAAAAGAATATTAAAGAAACCCATTGACACGTAATGCGAGATAAACCTGCGAGCGGAAATAAAGCTGAAAAAAAAATAAAAATAAGGCATTGTAAAAACGGGAAAAACTAAAAGGTCACACCAGCTTTATTTCTTGCTGGCAGCCTCCGCCTCCGCCTTTGCCTTGGCACGCTTTTCTCGGGCACCGACGTACTTGGCATCACTCCTGGCCAGTCTGAGTTTCCTGTAAGCGCTCGTGTCCTTCTCCTCTGAAGTAATGCTACGTTCCTTAATAGCTTTGTCGACCCCAGTGATTGGGAATAATGCCGAAGTTGCTTGCACCTTCGCGCTACGAGCTGCAGCTACATCCTCCTTAGTTGCATCGCCCTTCTTCGGTCGCCCAATGTGTCGTGGGAAAAGGATAAGCTTATCCTTGTATCCCTTGAGCCTCTCGACATTGACAGCAAGTCCTTCCTCCGAGCGATTTTGACGTCGGTGATCGACGGGAATACCAATAGTCAAAGCAAGTTTTCGTGGGATAGCGGCAGCCTGCGAGTTCCCGTTTTTTTTAAACAGTTAACAATCAGTCTATTAGGGTATTGGGGCCTGGTGCCTACCTTGAGCTCTTCAAGGGTGAACCCGCGGCCTGGGCGAACTCGACGGTTATATTTGACGGTTGGGCATCGAACGATTGGTCTTAACTTGTCAACTGGGCGCGGAGCAACGGCGGCAGCTTTGGACAGGCGGGCCTGTCGTCGACGAAGTTTGCGTCCAGGCTGTTGAGAATTTCAGTATGCGAATTTCCCTAGGCTCATTTAGATATGCAAAGTTAAGTACCCACCTGGTCGAAGTGAACTCTGACACGTTCCTGCCAATGCTTTCGGAAATGGTTATTAGGAAGTTGTTGATTGTCTGGGTAATATTGTTAGCCAGTATTTCGTTTAGTATATTTTTATATTTTATCCTTCTCGAGAATGCCGGTTGATCGAGTATCCTTGTGGAACGATGGGACGTACGCTTGATGGTCATTTTGGGGGAATAGAAGATTCACTTCTGAGGTTATAACAGAGCGTAAGTATGGTCGGGCGGTAGAGGTTCTGGGAACTCGATAATAAAGGTCGGTGGTGCCGAGTTTTGTGCCTATGTCGACGCTACACAAAGAGGATCTTGATGTTGAATGTGAGGAGGTTTGTGGTTTGGTGGTTGAGTTTAGGGCCAGGCAAAAAAAAAAAAAAGGCCAAAAAAAGAAAAGAAAAGACAAGAAACACCAAAAAACACCCGCCAAAGGAATAAAAACCACACACACACGCACACACACACTTAAACGGTGGTGGAAAGGACAAAGGGCAAATCTAAAACGACGAAAGCAACAGCTCAGAAATTTCCTGAACCAAGCACAGCTGGCAACTATGAGCCCAGCTGGATAGTAATTAAGATTGTTGATGAGGCTATTAGAGCGTACGATACTGGAGCCAATTCTAACTATTGGGCGATATCCTCACATCAATATCAAATAATCGGGAGTTGTCTATGCGGTTCCGGAAAAGCAGTCACAGTTCCTTGGTATGGATACAAACAATATTTCAGTCACGTGATACGAACTCTCTCTCTCTGTGTCGTGTATGTGTAATGACCTAGTTAGGTCCCGAGGTATTGAAGTAGTACGGGTACTATTGCTGACTACTTATAGTACTTAAGTAGTACTTATTAGGTACTTGCTTAAGCAATAGGTAAGTGCCTAGTATTCTTTGAGTCAGCAGCCATTTACTGCCAATACTTTACTTTACTTTATACCTTATATACTTAGGTAAGTAGTACATAACAGACATATATCATACCTAAGTACCTAGTACATATATCTGTGTTTACAAAAAGGATAGAGCCCATTCCAATAAGAAGACTTATACTAGCTGCGTAAGTGAACATTGTTGACATTGTTTTACTATTTTCGAATAACTAGGATTTAGCGATATAAGACTAGGGTTTAGCTAGTCTTCCGAGCTCACAGAACCAAGCCTCGTGTTCTGGCAAGTTGTGTATATAGAGAGATATCAAGAAAACAGAGAAACTACGTTAGACGGTCACCACAAATTTATTCTGAAGGACCTGAAACTACACTTCCCATAATTATGGCAATACTCTCAGTAACCTCATACTGTGCACTAATAACAATATTCACAAATACTGTCTTAGCTTCGTAGCAGTCATCTAACGCTGAGGCGACATACATACAAGTCGTTTCCTGAGGGTTTCCCAGCAGCTACAGCTTTGAAGGCCTGCATTTTTGATTGCTCACTGCCCCTCGTGGACAGTCTGCACAAGCCAATCCATCCCCTCGTTAATACCTATCAGAGAACTATCAGCTAGGCCTAGTCTCGATGTGTTTACAGACACAGATCTTACCCAAGTTTGTAACAGCGCTACATGCGACAATGCTCCAACTTCGGTCTTTTAGCTTCGGGAGTTCCAAAATTGTGGAGATTTCGCCAGCGCCTAGAGCCCCAGGCTGGTCTTGCTTGTTGGCAAAGACCAAAAGTGCTGCTTCCCTCAGCTCCTCTTCGTTTAGCATAGCCTGAAGCTCTTCACTAGCTGTCGAGAGTCGGTCTTTATCCGTGGCATCGACAACAAATATAACGGCCGCAGTATTTGCGTAATAGCACCTCCAATACCTAAAAATGAGTGATCCCGTCGTCAGCAGTGGTGCGCACATCGCCAACTAGGAGCAGTGCTCCCCTTTCCTGGGGGAACTGACGGTCGGATGCTCGTCTGCCCGCCTAATAGTATCTATTTAGCTATTTGCATGCATTTGAGCAGAGACAACCGTAGATTACATACCCAGATCCTGATTTAGAGATTTTGCCAGTTAGCAACGAACTCTAAGTCTTTCAATATCGTACGCAAACCTTTACTCAAATACGCACCCAGACATTGAAGTTAAGATTCTTATATGTGACGCTTTCAACGTTGAATCCAATGGTAGGGACGGTCGTCACAACTTCGCCGATCTGTTGATTGTTAGCGTTTACCACCGCGAGTATACTGTGCGGAAATTCCACTTGAAGGATGGAGACCGGGCTAGCCTATAACCTTCAATCTGTACAATAAAGTAGTCTTGCCAGCATTATCCTATAATCGATAATGATGACGATGTTAAAACAAGTTTCTAATGTCGAAGGACGATATTTGCGACATGATAGGTTAATACGTACCAGCCCAAGAATCAAAATCCTAACTTCTTTCTTGCCCCACCCTGCCAAAGCAGATAGACGTGAAAGCCACCCGCCCATTTCTAAAATAGCGGAGAGTTGATACTCGGATCCTCAATCTTTGAGGTCGGAATCAACTATGCGATGCACGTGTAGCAACCAGACTAAATAAAGAAGATTATAGCCTGCCTTTAGAAAAGTGTTTTTGATCGGTTGATTTCGGATAGGAGATGAACCTTGGGATCTCGACAAATTCTTCTTGGCGAACTTTTGGAGATACCGAGGCGGGCCTACTATCGATATCTCGTGTTGAACGGAGGGGTTAGGCCCCGGATTTTATAGGTTAGCAAGAAGGGCGGTAAACTAAATCATACGTGGATTACTTACACTATGGCAATATTTCGCTTGTTGTCACAGGGCCAGCGATGCTACGATATCCTGCAGGAGTGGCTGTATCCTGGAGGTGAGTACAGGTGGTAAGTATGGGGGATCAAGCGCGATCCCGTGAAGCCAGCTGGAAGTGCAGGTGCTTCTTGCTCCCTGGTTACCGACGACGTATGGTAGGTAGGGGTCTCGCGTGTAGCCATGTCTTGGCAGTCGTGACACCCGTTAGTCTGCCAAGCCAATTGAATGTTGCTTCTCTATTCTTCTTTGAGGAAATTTCGTAACAAGAAATTCGAGTTTTCTTCGTCCCATCAATTTGATTCCACAAGCGACAACCAGACCGTCCGGACCTCCCGACCTCAATACTTCCTAATCTATTTTTTTTAGGTTGCCAACTACGAAGGCATAGCTACCATCCTAGGGGCCGACTGGAGCGATTTTTCTTTCCTTCTCGAGTCCTCTCCCTCCAAACCCCCCAGCGACACTTCGACTCAAGGATATGCGGGAAAAGATTCTACGGCTCTAGAATAACCCTAGTGCAGTGCCAGCTCTGATTCTTTAACGAAGTACAGTGGCTAAGGGGCATCACAATATATTCCTGTGATGCAGGGCTCCTTCCTATCCGTTAGTCCCAATACCACTCGTCATAGACGGAAGGAAGAAAGAAGAAGGCGCTTACACCTTGTATCTGACTAGTCCCTTGGGCGAAGAGCATCCCCATCATACCATCGACTACAACTCCGGATCGTTGCCCGCAGCAGCCTACACAGAAGTCTAAACTCTGTAGCTGCGACTCCATACTCATTATGTCCTTCCTATTCCACCCAATCGGAACTACCCCTCGGCGCCCGCGCCTCAAATAACATGTTCTTTTCATCCACCCATCGCTCGGGAGGAAAGGGAAAGCCACGTGCTGCGCCATCACCTTCTTCTATCCCTCCCACTAAGCCGACTTCGAGGCAAATTGCTTCTGGAAAAAAGGGCAATTTTGCGAAGCTGAAGGCCAATGCAAAAAAAGGCATAGGCAGCTCAAGTTCACGCCATACACCCCAACATGATCACTCTAATAAATCGACAAAAAATAAAAATAAAGCGGATCAACAACTACCACACGATCTTCATCTATATCGAACGAAAGCTGATCTACTCTCCGAGTTCAGAATCCCAGCCAATGGAGAATACTCCCGCATGCGTGCCTCACCCCTGATCCTTCTTCTAGATACTGGCAGGTTCACTAAAGTCTCGATTTTCGGAAGCAGTTCCAGAACATCAAGGGGAAATGTCGTCCACCACGTTCGAGCAACAGGAAAAATGCAAATTGAAGATGCTCCAACCAGTTTTGTAGGATACGGAGCAGCTGAAACACAGGTGATATATTCTCTAGCTACCCATTCCTTCCTGCATAGTGACCCACGGTGCCAATTGCTAATACTAATTTTGCTCAGTCGGCTGCTCAAAGTGTTGCTTGGTTGCATATTGCTTGTCAAATCCACCAGCAGATCGGCCCAGAACAAGTTATGGGAACTACGTATGACAAAGGCGAGATTACTTCCGAGGTTTTGAAGAAGGAAAAGGACTCCAAACTTGAAGTTTACGAATACTGTGCGGCATACAATGGGACTCCTGAATTTCACTACAGGCGGGTACCCCGGAATAGACAACACGAAATAATGTTAAATTTCCCGCAACAGAATATCAAAATTGTGGTACGGCACCGCGATGCTGTATTGGGGGATACTATTGCCTGTTTATTGTTCAAAAAGCAAGCTGAACAATGGCATGCTCAAAACTCTGAGTCGAATCTTCAGGTCAAGAATGTTCTTTCTCTCAATTCTTCTAATGCTCGGCAGTTCCTCGATATTTGCAAACAACAAGGGAAGATTACAAAATACGATTGTATTATCCCGACCGAAAAGCTTTTACGGGTCCCGGGGATGCACTCCCTTCAGGCACTGATCGATGGTGAACCGCTTGGGCAAGTAGTTCACGGTGCTTCTAAAAAGGCTACCGAAACACTTGCTTACTTCGTTGCTGCCCTGAAGTTACGAGAGGTACATCCGGAGATATTTGTAAACTTCATCGAAGCACTGCGGGCTGGCAAAGGTGAAGTATTGAAGCCTCTATCACCAATATGGTTTCGGTCTCGGTGGGACTATTTACAACCGATGGTGGATACGGTTAATATGGTTCGAAGAATTGGGATACCTCGCGAATATTCTGACTTGACTTCTCGGGAAAATGATAACGCAACGAAGAGCCGGAGTTTTGGCTGGTCGCCCCCGAGCAACCACGCAGTAAAAATGAGAAGCCAAGAATTATTGGATGAGTATCTTGCCTACAACGCCGACCAGAGTCTCGAAGAATTGAGAACGAAACGGGCGGACTTACCAATGAATCAACACGCTGCCCAAGTTCTGGGTATTGTCAAAAACAATCCTGTTAGCATTATTGTGGGAGCGACTGGAAGTGGAAAAACCAGTAAGAAGAGCATATAGCCTACCCTTGGTTACAACCCAACTGTTTTAAACATTCTTTCCCTGTTTTCTCCCTGCGCCAGCCGAAACTAGCTGGAACTGGCTGACATGAATTTTTAGCCCAGGTACCCCAGATCCTGCTTGAAGATGCGGTCAAAGGCGGTGAAGGGGCCTTATGTAATATCATTTGTACACAGCCACGTAGGATTGCAGCTACATCGGTAGCTCAACGTGTCGCAGAAGAAAGAAACGAGCCTCTTCGCAAAACGATCGGATACCACGTCCGGTTTGATTCTAAAGTTGCGGCACCAAACGGGAGTATAAACTTCTGTACGACTGGAATACTTCTCCAACAGCTTCGCTCAAATGCTGAAGTTGCCTTGAGGGGGGTTTCGCACATCTTGATTGATGAGGTACACGAAAGAGATATACAGATTGATTTTTTGATGGTCCTCCTAAAACGGGTAATGCGCCAGCGAGAGCAGCAGGGTCTCTCTCCAATTAAAGTGGTCTTGATGAGCGCCACGATGAATACAGAGCTTTTTGCTGGGTATTTTGCTAAAATGCAAGAGAACGGGCGATTAAAAGATTGTCCGTCCTTGTCCGTACCCGGTCGAACCTTTCCAGTCGCTGAATATTTCCTTGACGAAGTCCAATCAATGCTCGCTGCTCAATATTCTGCTAGCGATCTAAAACTTCTTCGGGACCCCGACACTCGAGATTATCTTGAATTGGAATCTAAATATAGGGCGAAGGTGTCTCCACTTCAACTGACACAAGCGTCTCGAAATATCTCTATGCCCGAAGACGACTCTTTTATTGATTGGAAACGTAAAGCGATTGTCGGGGATGATGGCGAAGTAATGGTTTCGAATGAAAAGGAGGATGGGTTGACACCTTGCGGTCTTATCGCAATTGTGATAGCCCATCTGGCGAAAACAACTGACGCCGGTGATATTCTGGTCTTTCTTCCTGGGTTGGCGGAGATTAAACTCGTAGATGAGATGCTTCGACTTAGTGCACCCCTCGGGGTTGATTTTCAAAACTCTGATACTTACCGGATAGACATATTGCACTCGTCGCTTCCCCAACAACAAATGGATGTTTTCCATGCTAATGCCGCGGGAAAGAGGAAAGTGATATTATCAACGAACATAGCAGAAACATCGGTTACCATCCCCGAGGTGAGATATGTCGTGGATAGCGGAAAGCTCCGTGAAAAGAGGTTCGAACAGACGTCAAGGATTACCAAACTCCAATGTACATGGATTAGCAAGTCGAATTCAAAACAACGTGCGGGAAGAGCTGGCCGGGTTCGCAACGGCAATTATTATGCACTTTTTACGAAGGAGAGGTTTACTGAGTTCCGACCATCCAGTCTCCCTGAAATTCTCCGATCCGACCTCCAAGAGATATGCTTAGACATCCGGGCGCAGGGGTTCAAGGATCCAATCGCGCAATTTCTTTCTGAAGCAATAGAGCCCCCCTCGTCTGCTTCTATAGAGGCTGCCCTAAGCCAGCTGAGAGGGCTTGGAGCTCTTGAGAAGGATGAGACATTAACGAACCTTGGAAAGGTTTTAGCTACAATGTAAGTGAATCCACCTATCTAGAGAAGGTTCCTGTTCTTGATGCTAATAGGGGTTAAACTGAAAAGGCCCGTCGAGCCGGCTTTAGGGAAAATGATTTTGCTTGGTGTCATCTTCAAATGCCTCGATCCAATGATAATTCTGGGCGCGGCAAGTGGTAGTCGTGAACTCTTCGTTTCACCAATGGAAAGAAAGAGGGAAGCACAGGCAATTAAAAAAACCTTCGCGAAAGGTACAGGGAGTGACCATATGGCAATTATCAATGCTTTCCGCGAGTGGAGAACACGCCGTGATAACGAAAGCATGTTTGCAACTTCAAGGTTCACTGAGGAGAACTTCCTTCATCGAGGTGCACTTCGCGTTATTGATCAGACGGCGAACCAGATAGAAGAAATCCTTGTCACTGAAGGTATTATTCCTTATTTAAAAAAAAACCAACGCTTTAAAGGAGAGTATGGTCATCCCCGATTAAACGAAAATTCTGCATCAATACCGCTCATAAAAGCGCTGTCTTTGGCTGGCACATACCCCAACGTTGGCGTTGCCTTGGGTGGTCTTGGATTTAGGACGATGGAAGAGAATTTTGTTATGATTCACCCTGGCTCAACGAACTACTCTGGCAGAGGCCAAGTTCAAGGCCCACCGAGGGACACTATTGTATCGTTTGGAACAAAAGCGAGATCTAGCGATGGGAAGTCAACATACATGCGCGATGTCACACAAAATACTGTGTTAAATGCCATGCTCTTTGGGGGGAAGCCCACTCAACAAACAAATATGCTCCTCTTCGACGGCTGGATTCCCGTGTCTATTAGTGATGAGCGTGTCTTGAAGGTCGTTCTGCAGTTTAGACTAGTTCTTGACAAGGTATGTTTAATTCAGGAAAATAGTGTCATGTCCATACTAACATGGCTAAAAAAACATAGGTTTTGAACTACGTGTTCCAAAATGTTTCCGTCCGCAAGTCGAACAATGAAGCAGCAAAAGCTGATGAGAAGCTTCGTGACGTTGTGGCTAGTGGCGTGTTGGAGGCGTTGGAGAAATACTCTGAAGTTCATCCTTTGGGGCCCATCGTATCCAGCCGGAATACTAGAAGCAACGTGACCATCCGACCTCAGCAATCCATGGCTGTCCCTGGCCAGCGCTCATTTTTGCGCTCTAGGTAAGCCGGGGTTCCAACGGTTTACTGGGGTATGTATCGTGGCTAGTGCCACTAATAGTGGTGGCTCTCCGCGCCGGCCGGATTGATAGCACATCTTCCAATTTTGGGGCATATAAAGTCTCGACCCTCCACCTCGGAATGCATTATTCCTAATATGCTTACTGATTCTATATCATTTTGGGGGGTATTCTACTGTATATAAATAAGTATTCGATTAGCTAGACCATGGCATTCGGTGGGCCGAAGTGCTTTGTATATAGAGACCTTTTTGGGAATAACTTTGGTTACGCTCCTAATTTGTGGGCACTTTTTGTTTACATGTGACCCATGCAACATCAACTTCCTCCTCTTTGAAGCTTTATAACTCTCACCTGCACAACAACATATCAAACTAAGCGATGCGCTATTATTCCGACATACCTAAAGACCAAAGCAACAGGCAATCCCAATACCCCTAATTGAACGATGAGCCCGGACAACCAGACGACGGATAATTCGCGACAAGGCGTTGAAGCTTTGAATTCAAAGAATGACCGAGACGGGTTGACGGCAGCTTCCTTTGCAGAATATTCTTCAAAACGGGACCGACAACCGTTTCAATTTATGAATTCACCTGCGAAACGTACAAAAATTTCTAGCCTGTCTGGACATGTTAGCCCACCGCTCTCTAGAGTAAAGAGTCAAAACCGACTAGTAGACAACGAGTTTGATCCATTTCGTAACACTCAATTGTTGGATGCTAGCAACGGGTTGCCACGGAAGAATTATATTAAGGACAGCGATAGAGGGAATAGCCTTCGTAGAACGGTGCGACTTGCTGCTGGAATAGATGCTGTGACAGAAGCTGCAGCAGAAAATTTGACAATATCTGACCGACATGAGGACTCTACCAACCCGAGTCATCTGCATATGACGAATAAAGGCATACGATTGTCGAAGGCACCACCCTTCCCGATTGGATTTGAAGATACCGATGAGTCCCCCTTACCGCCGACTGTGAAGCAAGGACATGCATCTCCCGATACCATCAAGAGAGGACTCGAAGAAATATACAGCAGTGGAAAACGAAAGGCGCATCATGAGGGAATTGATTTTGGGAGCACACCCGAGTCCCCCACACGGAAACTACGTCTGAACAGCTCAAGGGACCTTACGGATCATTATTATCCTGCCTTATACACAAGTATCAAAGACAAGGGTCATCGCATGTTCCTTGAGCACCGGGAGGCTCTTCAACGGGAGGTTAGTCTCTTGGGGGACGAATTAGTTGTGGAAAGGCGGAAGGCATCGATTGGGAAAGGTCTAAAAGCGGCGGTGTCGCCTTCTAACGAGATTTTCGGCTTCATGTATGTATGCCATTTTCCCGTTCATAAGCCAGTTGCTAATGCTAGAATTACCTATCATAGCACTCAGTGTCTTGACGTTAATGATGAGGAAATCACCCGTAACTTAGCCACGGTCCAGGTTGCCAGGGAACTGGAGACTGGCCTTCGTTCTACACTGCCACGAGCGGAGATTTCATCGCAATATGGGGTGAGAGATCTATCTACATTAACATTTACAAACTACAACAATTCTGCACAAGACCTCAATCCGGGCTCCCTGAATAGTCGTTCTCTCCAGGGGTACTCTCACGAAAGTTTACTACATTTCAAAGCAACCATGGAGGTTGTTCTGATAGCCGGTCCTATCGTTAATAGTCTCAAAGTTGAATGCAGCGACTGGGCGCGGATGGAGCTGGGGCACACCCTTTCGAGGCTTTCTGCGGAACGGAATATCAGTACAGCACTTTATTCCATATCTTCATATGCCGCTCTAGCGAGGAGACGGGCAGAATGTTGGGTCCTTTTGCAAAACCAGTTTCCCAAATTAATCCCAGCGACTACCCAGCCTGAGCCAAGTTTAAAGCCAACTCAGCCGTCGGAAGACGGCTCTAAAGTTGCGCGGCGATTGCTTGTTGCCAATCTGCCGCGAAGGAAGATGACATTTCAGGGCCGAAACGCTTTTTCGAACGCGCCCATTTCATCCGAGACCGAAGTTTGCTTATATTGGCACATCAACGTCAAGACGACTGGAGAAAGTTATAGTAATGTTTCAGCGAATATTAAAGTCCTTTCAGGCGGTACGTTCCTCTTCCAGCCCTTCATAGGCTCATTTCAAATCTAACTAGCACGGCTTCGTAGACTCTGGTGAAATACGGGTTACCCAGCAAATGTCAAATCTCTTCAAGGTGATTGTCGGTGAATACGGCTTTATGGAAGGTTCATCAAGACTCCTTGACACTATTTTTGGAAATTCTTAGCTATAAACGTGTCGAGAGGGCTTTTATGATCGCGCGAAGCGTTTCTTTTCTATGCTCGGAGGTTCATCGGAGTTTGGCGTAGTAGTGGTAGGTCTTGTACAAGATCAACTTTCTCAACCTCGTAAATTGTTTCCTTTAGTACTTATTTTTGGTGCTTTCCCTTCGTTTCTATCCTTCTTTTCTCTAAGGAAGCTGGAAAAGAGTAGAATAATTTCTCCATAAAAGTTTTGAGCTTAAGCCGTGGACAGTATTTTATATGATATTAGCTCTGATGTAAGGTGGGCTCAGATAGTTTGTGGCATGATGGAGGCCCTCTGATAAATTGGTGCGTTTGTATAGTACGGCCTTAAGATTCTATTAATTAATGATATTGTCGGGGGAAAGATCATTTCGAATTACACATTGACTAACTAAAGCTGTCTAGGGAAGCGGTCGACAAGGTCGAATTCAGAGTAGACGGGATTGTAATCATAAAAGCGTCGTAAGGATTAGGGACGGGAACAAGAAAAATAACATACAATAGGGTCGTCATTAGCGACCCCAGACTGCGAAAAGGAAAGTGATGAAAATATGATGGGAAAATGAGAATGAGAATAAATAAAAGGTTCAGAAAGTAAATAAAACTTTTAATGCTGCAACTTGCGGCAATTTGACTAAGAATCTGCGCTTTGCGACTTCGACTCGTTGGTAGACCCTGTGTCATTAGGCCCTGATGTCTCGTGGGATTCGGAATTATCAGTACCATCTTGATGGCTGGATAGTAAACTAGCGATTGAATTCGGTGTTAGCTACCCTTCAATCTAGATATGCAGTTGTTACAACTTACCTGAAGCTGTTCGTGGAGGCGACTGAGTCCCGGGTAACAGGAGGGGTTGCCGTCCGGGATGAGACTCCGGAGTCAGCCCCAGGTTGCAGGTTTGAAGGGGCACCGAGGCCACCGAGGCCTTTTCGGCTGCCACTACTGCTGCCAGACCTGCCGAATAATCCAGCGGAGGGGCCGAAGGAACCTCCAGTGCCCTGGCGGAGTGGCTTTATCCCTCCTAGACGGCGAAGTTCGTCTGTTCCAAGAGTTTGGTTCTGGCGTTGGTCCTGGAATCCTTGGTTCCCGCCATAGCCGCCTTGTGAGAACGACCTTCCATCCCCCCTACCTGCTTGCGATCTTTGCCGTTGTTTATCGCGGGCAGCAGCAGCTTCTTTCTCGAGTTGGGCCTTTTGCGCCTGTCGGGAGTACCGATGTGTTAGACTGTATGACATTGCGCTCTGGGATTATCTGGGTACTAACCTCCTCACGTATCTCTGCGATAGTCTTGGGGCCCTTGTCTGCCTCCTTAGATTCCCAATTGACCTTTCGTAGCTCAACCACGTCCTATAAGAAAGGAATAAAGTTTTAGTGTCATGACAAATGAGATAGAATCAAAAAGCAAAGGGCCTCTCCATCTCCTGCTTTCTCCTTTTATTTTTCTTGGAAAGGGGCACATACGAGCAACATAAACTTCATGCGGCTGTTCAACTCCTTGCTATCCATCATCTGTTGGATCCGGTTGAAGTAGGCATCCATTGCTAAGTGGCTCTTCTCTGTTGCGTCGAGAGCATAACCGATGGTTCGTAAAAGTTTGCAGAGTGACTCAACCTCTTCTTCTTCGGGGGTACCTTCGTAGTCAACGAGTTTCTTGACGCATTCATGCATGATACGCTCTGTTAACATCTGCAATTTGAAAAGCTCTCCGATGAACTGGATCAAACCAAGACCTCTTCTCTTGGCAGCCGCTGCGACGTAATATTCATCCGACATTAATGCGGCCTCTTCACTGACCCCCTCTGGCTTCGGAGGAAGGTTGACCTTCCAACCGCGTTCGAACTCCTCCTGGCACCTATTCAAAAGGTATTTACGGAAAAGTGCACCTCCGGTGACGATATTACCGTTCTTGTCCTTGATATTTTCATCTTTGATATCAGGATGCATGCTTTCAAGCATGCGCTTGCAGAACTTAGCGTACATTGAAGAAAAGTTAGGCTCGTCCGTCGCCTTCTCAAATGTAAGTTGGATGACCTGACGGAGTGAACGCCCGTCTGTCTCATAGCGGGACTGGCTTGCGATTTCGAGGATTTGATCGGCGATTTTGTCGAATTTCTCGGGGGTCATCTTGTTGAGGGCTGCTTTGACCTTGCGCTGGACCATCTCGGGTGAAAGACGTGGTTCATCGCTGGGAGCGTTTCCACCTGCACTAATTTGGTTTGACAATGACGAGGACGCTGTAGCACCACCCGCAGTTCTCGGCTTCCACGCCGATGCTGTCGCTTTCAGCGGCTCGAAATCAGCTGACGCAGCCGCTGGAGGAGGATTGGTGGACTCTAGTTCAGCCTTCGATGTGCCTCCTTGACTTGGCCGCTTTCCATCCATCCCCCCCCGCCGAGGGATGTTCTTGCTACCGCTGCGCTGGGAGCCCTTGGGGCCACCAGGGCTTTGTGGTGCAGAGCCTTGGTTGGATAGTTGGGTTGAGGAGTGATTTCGTGCGGGGAATGGGCGTGGAACGCCGATAGGGAAGGGTGAATTTGATGACTGTCTGCCAGACGGAGGCATGACTGATCCTCCAACACCACCACCGACACGGAATGTACCCATCCCCATCCCCATGGATGGAGGGGGCCCTGGAAGAGCTGACCGCGCTTTGCCTGGACCTGCGGAGGATGGAGCTCGCGACCCACCCATGGGCCGGGCAGAATCCGGTTCTCCAACGGTATCACGCATTCGTTGCTCCCAGTCGGTGGAAGGTTTATCCGTAAAAACGGTCTGAAACTGCATTAGGAAGTCTTTCTCGTACTTGAATTTACCATTCGGTGCACTCGCATTGAGAGCTGGGTTCGGAGAGATGATGGAGGGAGGGTAAGCGACCTTGTTGATATCGTCAATAAATCGTGCTGAGCGGAGAGCTGTTAGAGCAGCTGATGGGAGGGCTGGTTCTGAAGAAGTCTTAAGCTGAAGGTTAAGCGGTGCTGGCTTTCGTTGGTTTGACTTAGGGGCTGGAGGGTTCTGTTGGGTTTCTGCCGTAGTAGCTTGGGAGTTGACTGTGATCTTAGCGATATCTGAGGCAAGGTCCCCAACTTCTTTCGAAGTTACCGGGAGTGGTGTTGAGCCCTTGATGGCAGTGGCCACGGCCTTAGCATCGGCATCTTCATCACTAGGCCCAGCTGGCGTCGAAGCTCTAGGGGCAGGTGATCCGGATTTTCGAAGCTCTTCAACTCGTCGTGTTTCTAATGTAGCCGCCTCCTGCTTCTTCAATTCCTCTGCCTCAGCAACCAGTCTTTGCTTCTCAGCCTCCTCGGCCCGTTCCTTGCGTCGAGCCTCTTCCATGGCTTCCTTCTCACGCTCGAGTCTCAACCTTTCTTCCTCAGCCTCAACCTCAGCCTTCGCTTTAGCAGCAGCCTCAGCAGCTTCCTTTTCTTCTGCGGCTTTGCGTTCCACTTCTTCCTTTTCCCGTTGTTCCTTTTCCCGTTGTTCCTTTTCCCGTTGTTCCTCTTCCCGTTGTTCCTTCTCCATTCGTTCCTTCTCCATTCGTTCCTTCTCCATTTCCTCTCTTTGTAGGCGTTCAACCTCCTCCGCCTCCTCCTTTGCTTTCCTCTCTTCCTCTTCTTTCTTTTGCCGCAGTTCGTCCTCTTCCTGTTGTTTTTTTACCTGTATTTCACGGTAAACAGTGGCTTTAATCTCATCTCTCACTTCCTGGATCGTTTTCGCGCCTGAAGGTTTAAGTACAACGGGCACGGGTTTAGCTTCGGCCCTTGCGTGAGCCGCGTTATCGGGAGCGGGAGAGGACGAAACTATAACAGGGGATCTTCCAGATATTGGGGGCGGCGGCGGGAGGTTAGAGAAAGTCTTAACAGTGCCGGTATTTGGATCTCGAATTTCAATTTTTTTTGAGGTTTTCTCAACCTTTTTGAAAAATTGGTTATTCGGGTTGCTGGGAACAGGAGGGGTAGGCCCTGGGTGCGAAAGAGGCGGTGGTATATTTGTTGATGTGAGGGGAGAACCATGTGGCATATGCGGCATTCCTGATGGACGGCTAGGGTGATGGTCTGAAGGTTGTGAAGCGGTTCTCGCCATAGAAGACGATTGGCCGGCTTGGAAAGGAGGAGGCATATAGCCGCCTTGCTGAGGCTGCGGCGGCATATATCCTGTCCTAGGGCTGCCCGGGGGGAATAACGGAGGTTGGGGATATGGCATGTAATGTGGTTGATGTTGGTTATAATAAGAAGATTGGCCATATTCTTGTGAGTACATTGGCTGCATTGGCTGCATCTGTTGCATCCGGTAATTAGTAATGAGTAACTGATGATATACAAAGGTGAGGAAAGGAGAAGGCAGCCACGTACATGCGGGTGTGGGGAAAGGTGTTGATAGTTCATATGGGGAGAATGCTGCATCGGGGCATTTCCTGCGAGCTGGGCACCACTCATCTGTGGAGTAGAAGGCAAAGAATGGGTTAATGCAGGGCTCCTGCCTCCACGATTGTTATTGAAATTTGCCATGTGAGCAGGTGTTTGGTAGGGTGATCCCACTGGACCCGTTGCCCCGCCTCGTTGTTGGTTAGGCCCCGCCCGGTATTGTGGGGTGTTAGAGTAACCTGGAGAGGCGAAAGGCGCAGGATTATTATGGGGTGGATACTGATTACTGAAATTTCCGCCCATCTGATGCTGATTTCGGCCGCGATGATTGCCCTGGGGCATTCCCCTACCATGAGATATACCAGCAGGAATTGGACCGTCCCCATGCCCAGAGTCCCGTCTTGGGTGCGGTGGTGGGCCAGGTATGTTCGGGTTCAAGGGAGCGTTCGGTGGCATCGACACTGGGCGCTGTGGAATCGTCCGCTACAAAATTGTTAGATAGGTGTGTTTTTATTTATATAAAACTATGTATTGGATATACACGTGTTTGGTCATGGAGATATGAAGACGGGGGAAATGGAGGGAAACGAGAAAGGTAGGAAGAAGGGTGGGGAAGGAAAAGAACAGAGTGAAAAAAAGGGAGAAGAAAAACGAGAGAAGCCGAAAAACATACGTTAGGGTCAGAATTCTCTGTGACCGAGCCGAAGGCCGGCATTCCCTGGCGGGGGAGCGAAGGCGGTGGGCCACCACTCGCGGCAGGCTGGGGGACCGGAGACGGTGAAGTCTGCGGGGAGCCGGCGGGTAGGTCGGAGGAAGCAGAGGGGGCAAGTGGAACGGAAGGGGGTAGCGCGGGGCTTGAGCCGACATGAGATGCATGATGAGGACCGTTTGACACGTTGCCAAAGTGTATCGAGCTAGGAGTGGGAGGTTGCTGGCCTGGAGGCATCCTCAACCCATTTTGCGGCTGCGACTGCGGCTGCTGTGTCTGCTGCTGCTGCTGGCCCCAGGGGGCTTGCTGTGACGACTGGGTAGCCAGAGAGGGTTTCCGGCCGTGGGAAGTCGAAGAAGATGAAGGTGCAGAGGACGCAGAGGAGGAACCGTTAACGATTAAATTGCCGCTGCTGCTGCTGGCTGGCGGAGGGTTAGCTACCAGAGGAGGTACTGCAGGAAGAATTGATGGTTTTCCATTAACGTTTACAGGGGAAGGAGTGGAAAGGGAGTGGCGAGCATTTGAAGCCAAGGTGGGGGCCTGGGTGGCCGTCACGGCGGCTAAGGGCTGCTGCGCCGGCAATGTAGAGCTGGACACGATTGTGGATAATTTCTTACTCGCCTGAGCGTAGCTCAACGACCTTGCGGGTAGGGGCGAGGAAGCTGAGCCGCTCTGGGTAGAGGAAGATTTATTGGGGAGAGTAGGAGTCGAGAAAGAGGAGGGGGGGGTAGGGAGGGGGGCAAGGTCAACGTTGACGGGGGCAGCGGAGGAAGGGGCAGTGGTAGGACCGGTTGATGTTATACTTGTCATTCGAGGAAGCTTGCAACGGGAGATATCGAGGGAGCGAAGCAGAGTGTTTGTGGAGGTGAGGGAGAAGAGGAGAAAAAGAAGATTCTGGTGATAGTTCTGATTCTGGTTCTGTTGATGTTGATGTTAACGTTGATGTTGACGTTGATATTGATGCTGATGGTTGTGGCAGGTGGGGGCGGGAGGGGAGGTTTAGGGGAAGAGGTTTGAGATAATTGATGATTGATGGTGGTGTTGGTGGTGTTGGTGGAGTGATTAATTAAAAAAAAAAAAAAAGGGAAAAAGAAACGAAGAAGAGGACGGAGGACAAGACTCCAACGGAGTATAGAGCCTAGGACCAGTAACCAAGAAGGGCCGATCTAATCAGATTTGATAAGATCGGATCGGATCAGATTGATCAGGAGGAGAAGATAGAAACCGGGGGTTGATTCCGTTACTATCTGGTTGTATGTAGGTGGAGATTGAGGTGGGTTGTTAGTTGTTATTGGTGGGTGGTGATAACGAGAGAAAAAAGAGAAAGAAAGAAAGAAAGAAGATTTTTTATCGCGCTGGCTAAAAGAGGTAAGTAAGTAAATGCCCTGTATCCAAGTCGGGTAATATTTCGTATTCAGGGTTACCTGGTAAGTACTTAGTATCTAGGTATGCTTAATAACCAAGCAAAAAAAAAAAGAGAGAGAGAAAGAGACCAGCACCAACGAGCCACTATAATTATTATTAGGTACCTCTAAGTAAGTACTTTTGGGTAAATACTCTTTTTATTATCTTATTTTTTCTCATCATCATCGTCACCCCATCACCCCATCACCCTCTAGATTGTCCCTCATAACAACAACAACAACAACAACAATAACAACATCTCTCTCTCTCTCTCTCTCTCTCTCTCTCTCTCTCTCTCTCTCTCCATCTTCTTCTTATTTCAATTCCATCACAACCGCCATCAATACCGAAATCGACGTTGACCTTCGATCCATCTAATAAACAGTGAAACGCGTCTAATGGCTCGACCAGCCCGCTCCAAGGCGGCTCCGAAGGCCTCATCTCCCTCCTCCACCGCTGCCACTGCCACTACTATCGCAGAATCCAAATCCAAATCCAACGGTGTTGTACCTCGCAAGAGAACCGCTGCTGCTGCCTCCGCCCCTGCTCCTCCTACGAAGAAGCCCGTGCCAAATCCACGCTCTAAAAGGGCCTCCGCCACAAATGTCGCGCCCTCCTCCAAGGTACACCGGTTTGTATACTCTATTTTACATTTTATGTCTCACACTGACATCAACATCAACAGGACGACACTCCTGAAAATGATATGGAGGTCGATGCCGACGCCGAACCCTCCGCTGTCTCCGATCGCGACTCTGATGCTGCAGAGCGCCCTACCAAGAAGGCTAAAGTTGCTAGGCCTTCATCCGCTGACGCCGAGCCAAAGAAATATGTTGCACCCGTTCCCAAGGCCAGAAACATCAAGGTTATTCGCGAACGCTCCGCCGCAAAAATGGATATCTTTGTCTTTGGCAAAGGCGATATGTGTGAACTCGGCCTCGGCCCTGATGCCAAAGCTCGAACTGTCACTAGGCCTCGTCTCAATCCCTTCCTTCCTACCGACACCGTTGGTGTCGTTCAGGTCGCCGTCGGTGGCATGCATACAGCTGTCCTAACCCATGACGGAAAGATTTTGACCTGGGGCGTTAATGATCAGAACGCCCTCGGCCGAAACACTTCTTGGGAGGCTCCCGAAGTTGATATCGATAGGGCAGATGCCGATAACAGTGACAGCGATGACGATGATGATGATGATGCTCAAATAAACCCCCTCGAAAGTACCCCAGGCCCCGTCGAAGGCCTCCCCGATGAGGTCAACATTGTTAGCATCGCGTGCTCAGATAGCCTCACCCTTGCCATCACAGATACTGGTTTCGTCTATGCCTGGGGAACATTCCGAGTAAGTAGCTTCTCCTCTTTCTCTCTCTTTCTCAATACACCCTTTCCCTAGAGACTATTGTGCATCTCCTAGTACCATCATACTTATTTTTATCTTTTGATAGTGCTCCGATGGGATCCTCGGGTTTAGCGAAGATCAGCGTATTGCCATTCATCCGTTCTTACTTCCCAATCTTAAAAATATAGTCGACATTAGTGCAGGTGTTGATCATATCCTAGCTCTCAGCAGTACTGGGACCGTCTTCGCGTGGGGTAACGGCCAACAGTATCAATTGGGCCGTCGTGTTATTGAAAGAACTCGTATGAACGGCCTCGTCCCTCGAGAGTTCGGACTCAAGAAGATTGTTGCTGTTGGTGCTGGCTCCTACCACTCCTTCGCCGTTGATGCTAGTGGCAAGGTCTGGGCCTGGGGCCTCAACCAATACGGCCAATGTGGGATAGATCTTGAAGGAAAGACTGGAGAAGACGGTGTAGCCGTCCCCAAACCAACCATCGTTAAGAGTCTTGCCAAATACAAGATTGTTCAGATAACTGGTGGCGAACATCACTCCGCAGCTGTCACAGACGACGGCAAGCTCCTCACATGGGGCCGTCTAGATGCAAACCAGCTTGGCATTAAAGCTGAAGACTTGAAATCTGAGTATACAGTGTATGATGAACACGGGAAGCCACGTTTCATCACCGAGCCCACTGTTGTTCCCAACTTACCTTCCATTTCCAAAGTTGCCTGCGGCACTCATCACAACATTGCAATTGATGTTTACGGCAAAGCTCACAGTTGGGGTTTCGGAGAAAATTTCCAAGTCGGCCAGGGGCCTGCCGGAGAGGATATTCTTATCCCAACGCTGATCGACAACACAGCAACTCGCAACGAAAGGCTCATATTCGCTGGCTGTGGTGGTCAGTTCAGTGTTATGGCTGGTCAACCCGCAGGTCCCAAAGGGAGCCTTACCCTCAACGGTAAAGACAGCCAGGCCAATGGAGCGAAATGATCTCGAAAAAAATTTAAAAAATAATGATGATAATAATAGCAAATAACTTTACGCATGCATTAGCGCCTCCGATATTCTTTTCGCACCTCAAAAGTCACGACCTCAAACAGTAAATTATTTTTATTTCTTATTTTCGTCGATGCCGTCTCTAATTCCGATGTCTTCCCTTCATACAATGTTCCAGCGAGCCATTGCGACTTCTCTTCGAATTTCCCCAACGTCATGGATTTGAGAACTCGGCTATGAGCCTTTTGGTTTCTTCATCACAGCCGCTTTTTTTCTACTCCCACTTGTAACTATAATTTGTTGTTTTATTGTCCCTTCGATACTGTTTTCCACCTATAGACTTGTGTTTTCCGCTGGGAACCTAGCCTTCACTGGACAAATGCAACGTGTCCAGGAGATCATATTTAGTGTATAATAAGATAGACCTTAGCAAAACTACTGAAAGATGCTACGAAAGTTGAAAATTGAAGTGTTTCTTTTTTTTCTCTGGATGGCAAATATATTGAATATAGGCCCGAAAAGTTGTGCTTCATCGAAAATACAAAGTAGGTCCAAAAGTCAAGATAGGATGCGCACTAAACCTTCATTTCCGACAAACCATCTTTCCAGACTGTGAAGTAAGGCGTAACCCCATCCTCACGGTAGTTCAAAAGAAGAACGGCGCCATCCGGGTTCATGCTTTCACCGACGTAAAACTCGTAATCTTTGAAACCACCCACAATCTTCTTGGCAAACGCTTGAGCTCCCTTCTCGAAGGCCTCAACTCGTCCTGGATTGGTCTCTGCAAGCTTCGCCTTGACTGTCTTCATATATCCTAACGAGCAGAAAACTTATCAGCATGGCGGAGGCGACAGAAATCATAGAAATCGAAATCAGGATATATAGGTTACCTTTAAGGTATGTCAGATAACTCTTCTTATCAAAGGAGGTAGATTGCAGCCTGAACGAATAAACAACGTTGTTGACCGTGATCATACCATCCTCGACAGACTCTTCAGCTTCTTCGGCAGAAGCGTTGGCACCAATATCTGGGGGAAGCCTAGGTTAGCTATTGCCGAGTTTTAGCAAAAAGAAAAAGAAAATTTACTCACCGACATCAGCGCCCTGCTTTATAGTAATCATCTTGCAGTCAACCTCATAAGCGATGTCGTCGACAACTACTCAAGCTCTACTGTCAGTTATGGATAATATTTAGAACAGGAGCAGGGTGGGGTAATTGCGAACCCTTAAAATCGTAGGCATCGGAGAAGATTTCGTCGTCGGTGATGAGATCCTATTGAAGCCTAGTTAGTATCGTCTGTAGTAGAGGCGATAGTATTGTATATAATCTACAGGACGAACCTTGTAGATGATCATTGTGGCGGTATTTGCGGGGTGTGTTCTGGGAGTGAAAGCGGGGTGGTTAAAATTGTAGATGAGGGGTGAAGGATGATGGATGAAAATGGCACAGACCAAAAAAAAAAAATAATAAATAAAAGAAAATAAAAATAAAATAAAATACAAAAATAATATAACATGCACAAATTGGAAAAACAAAAAAAAAAAAACAGAATTTTAAAAAAAGAAGAGGAGGGAGACTTTCCACCATTCCCAACAAGGTATTTCTTGGCATCGTCGGTGTCAAACTAAATCTTGTGTTGCCAACCAACCCGACTCCTTTTCTTTCCCAACCAAAAGTCAAACAACAACATCCTCATCCCATATCCTCGCCACCATCAAACCATTCTCAAGTCAACTTGACTGCCTCGTCAGCTACTAACCAATAGCAGAAGTACTTAAGCCCAGGTACCTGCTTAAATACCGTACCTACAGAGTTGGGAGGCTACAGGGTTCTTGATCTCACCTCCCAGACATAAAACTCAAGTAGCTAGTCGGGTTCCGGAAACTAGTCGACCGACCGGCTGTTCCGGCTCCCTTTTAACTGTCGCGACTTTCGGTAGCATCATCTCTCCCTCTCAAAACAACATCTTCCTCCGCTATTGACCATCCAAACCCGCCACTTATTGGGCTGTCACGTCGACGGTCAAACTAGCAACATGCACGCCAACATCACAGTTCCCACTTCTTCTTTCTCTTCTCCTCCAACAGATCCAGTATTATATCCTGCCACCCCCCTTCTACCTTTCATATCCGATGCGCTCCTGTCATGCTTATCCCCAATAGTCGTTTATTGGGTCTTATCAATGATCTTCCATTACATCGACGAGTACGAGCTTCTAGAAAAGTACCGCATTCACACGCCGGAGGAGGTTCTTAAGCGAAACCATGTGTCAAGATACGAAGTTATCAGGGACGTCATCATTCAGCAGGTTATTCAGTTCGGGTTCGGATGGATTTTAGGTTACATAGAACCGGAAGAGATGACTGGGGCCGAATCATGGGAAATCTACGAATTGAGCCAAACCGTTGGTTGGTCTACTTCTCTGCTACTTGGTTTGTCAGGTATTGATGCGGGAACCTTATCATCCAATGTCGCTTCCTATCTATCAACTCAGGGTTCAATGGGTGTCTTTTTGGTGAACGTTGACTGGCGATGGAAGATTGCCGAAACTCTCTACTGGGTTCTCTTTCCTCTCCTTCGTCTTGGCCTTGCTATCTTCATTCTCGACACCTGGCAATACTTCTGGCACAGGCTCATGCATCAAGTTCCCTTCCTATATCGAACCCTTCATTCCCGTCACCATCGACTCTACGTCCCATATGCTTTTGGCGCCCTGTACAACCATCCGCTTGAGGGTTTGATCCTCGACACCATGGGCGCAGGCCTGGCATTCAAAGTATCGGGAATGTCGATGAAGGGTAGTGTCTTCTTTTTCGGTTTCAGCGCAATGAAGACGGTCGATGACCACTGCGGCTACAAGCTTCCATTCGACCCTCTTCAAATCATCTTCTCTAACAATGCTGAGTATCACGATATTCACCACCAAGGATGGGGAATCAAGGTAAGCCTCCTTACAATTCCTAGGCAATTGTTACCGGTCTAATAATTCTCTTTCTAGCACAACTTTTCTCAACCATTCTTGATCTGTTGGGATAGATGGCTTGGTACTATTTATACCGGCGGCGATGCCGCGGAAAGAAATAGACGGACTCAGGAAAGAGTCCATTGTCAGGTTGAGGCCGAAAAGTCAAAGAAGGCTTCTATCAATACTCCTTCTGAACAAGATGAATACGCTGCGCGAAGAGTCCTACCCGAAGAAGATGATACAGAATTTATCAAAACAAGCATTGTCGCAAAGCTCGAGTCAACTACAGTCACTGAACCGCCGCGTCAAAGACGGAGAACTAGAACAATCACACTTGCAGACGTGGCGGGAAAGGACATGGCTGAAAGCGTTAAGGAAGCTGGCGAGTGGGTCAACGGCGTTGTTGGCAATGTATCTGGCGCAAAAGTCAGGTAGACGAGGCAATGATGACAAAATAAGGCAAGCAAGTATACTGCGCAACTCCAACAAGCGCAGCTAGCGAGAGACTTTGGGGTCCAGGGTAAAACTCCTAAAAAATACCCATTACCCCTAGTCCCCGAAATTGGCAAAGCGCCTATATACACCCCTTACAATCCCCTAATTTCTAATACTTAAAACCCCCCCGTTCTCCTTTTTCTCTATTTATATGGCGTCACGTTCGGGCTTAATGATTCTCATGCAACAATCCGACGAGCATTGAATGTTTGTGTTTCCCTGGTTATATACCTTTTGTGAGGGGTATGCGAGTAATGGGTGGCTGCACGACATGTGGTATAATAGTTGTCTCTAAGTTGAATATCATCGCGTTCTTTTATCTTCTTCCCTTTCCCTTTTCTCATGTTTCCTTTAATTAGCCCCAAACTAGTACCCTGTCAGCGTCAGAGATTTACGCCATACTATAAGTGTCGGTATCACGATTCTATGGTTGATTCGATGCTGAAAAGCAAAAAATTATGGGTTTGGAATTAGAATGCTTATATCCATCCTATGGAGAGACAAGACCACTCAGGCTTCAGTCTATATAACTCCATTGTACCTTTTATGCTTTCTCTCTCCCTTGTATTATAATATAATCACTCACCTAATACATAGCAGGTTTCATTTCACATCGTTTGCGACTAGCTCAAAAGCACATGAATAGAAAACTCGAATTTTTGCAGAAAAAGAAGAAAAAAACGAAGAAAAACTACTTCAAGTTCGGATGGTGATGATATTATTGTTTGTAATGTGTATCAGTATTTATGTACATGTAGTTGTATACGTCATAATTCCCAAAAATGGTCCCAGAACTCCGATTTAGATGTCGCCAATGCCAAAAAGAAAAGAAAAGAAAAGAAAAGAAAAGAGAGAAGGATTCCCTAAGAAGAAGGTGGGGTATCTGTCGTAAACATCATGAGGTATCATAAGTTCGCCTTGCAGGGCGGTTGTGTTCATTAATAATAGAGGGTTTTCTCTGTAATTGGCAGGTGTCTGTAGAAGTATTCCTTCTCTCGCCTAAGGTCTTCGACTTCGCGGCGGAGGTAATTAAGTTCTGCGAGATAATTTTGGTATTCTTCAGAGATAGATTCGGATCCGATTTCAACATAGTCAAATCGACCCCATGATGATCGAATGAGTGATCGCAATCTCGCTTCTGCCTGTACCTCCATGGATTCAATGGCAACGATAGCCTCGGCTTCTGGCCTCACTGGCATTGGAGCATGAACCGGCAGGCTCGGGGATAGACGTCTAGATTTGGATTCTAACGGCCAAGATCGATTGACAGATGAGGTTTGAGTAGGGTACAAGTCGTCTTGAGACTCCTCAAATCGGGTGGCGCACGAAACATCGCTGAAACGCGTGCTCCGAGAATGTCGGGAGGATCTTGACTTTCCAGCCGCAGAGCGGTACCAATTTTCCATATCAGCGAGATCATCAACTCGGACAGTGTCAAGCCCGCTATATGCGTACTTGCCACCGATTTGGAGCTTAGTCGCCATGATGGCGGCTGCCACGTTCTCTTCCTCGTCATCTGTTTCGATCTCAACATCGCTATCGAAAGATTGCATCGGGCTGCTGGAAATGCTACTGGTGTCATCGACTGGACTGGGCGACGATTCTACTGAGAACTCGCTCTGCGTCAAAGACGGGCTGTCAGAAATCGTGGTGCTTGCAACAGACAATGGCCGAGAGATAGAGGAAGCCATCTTGCGGGATCTGACAGCGCTATACGCATGATCCTGTGCCTCGAGGATCTCCTGTTCGTCGTCCTCGATGAGCGAGGATCGCGAAGATTGACAAGAAGCCATATTGATACCAAGGCCAGTGCACTGTGCTTGACGCCTCGAAGCCGCGGACGAAGAACGAGAAAGTCCACCAGTGTGATACGATCTATCGAAATCTTGCGGGATAGGATTACTAATCACCGGAAAGCCGGAGCGAGGTTTTGAGGAGTTATAATTGATAAGATTCGAGATAGATGGGATGCTAGGAGTCTTGAGGTGGAATCCGCGCTTCTTTCCCACTTCCGATGGGGTGGATGTCCGCTCTCCAAGTTCACGAACACTGTTCGATCTACTGAATCCGAATCCAAAGCTTCTCTTAGAGCGTAGGTTAAGCCTTCCAGAGTATGGTGTACCTACAGAAGTCGGCGAAACAGCACTGTTGAGTCCAGAAGAGGGTGTCAAAGATGGAACGGCTGAAATAGGGCTAGTTTGGGTTTGCTGTGATCCGTTCGGTATCACAACGGTTGGTCGCTGGGGGGCATTAGCTCTATTAGAAGCTGAACCCGGTTTCCCAAGGATGGCATATTCGTCGTTCTGGTTAAGGTTGAATGGGTATGCCTTTTGGCTTTGTCTCTGTTTACAAGCTGATAGTTCTCGCGCAAAGCTCTCAGTGGTCGCAAGTTCCGGGCTGCCAGCGATCACTTTTTGGCCTGCAGCGACTTGGAACGGGGCATTGAAAATGCTACAGATTGTTCCGCTGCGAGGGTCAACCACACGCTCCGCCACCGTGGGATCAGGCATCTGAATATGCCCATTGATGACAAAGTAATATGTGTATCTGCCACCCATCTTGAGGCCGTCAATTGATGCTCCTGCACCGTATTTGGAAGACCCAAGACAGATTTTCCAAGCCCCAGTGTTTGACTTGAAGTCCTTGCCCATGAGAAGAGGCGCCGAAAAATTATCCCAAGAACCGACTAAATGAACAGTAGCAGTTTCATTTGGAGTCCTGATGCTGAAGGCGACTATTGCCCTATCGCTAGGCAGGCTATTTGTAAGTTGTGGGATGTAATAGGCCATTGCGTTTGATGGTAATGGGGAGGCGCAATTTTTATTGTTGCTTGGCCCGAGATAAATGTTTAAAGGTGGCTCACGCGCCAACGTGAAACGGAGGTATTCGAATGGAGAGAAGATCGAAAATTGGTAGTGGATGATGTAAATGGTGCCGCGAAGCTTTAGAGGATAAGATATATGACTATGGTGATGATGATGCGATGCTCAGATGTGTGGCGGTGATGCAGAAAGTGAGCGTTTCATCGAGGGGAGATATCTTGAGAGCTTTATAGCTTGTGAAGCCTGAAACGAATTCCTGACAGGATTTTCTGGCAGCGGATGCATCTGCCGGAGCAGAGCAATACTATGGTGTTCACTCTCCCGCAATGTCATCGCAAGAAAGGCGGCGATGTGGAGGAAAGGAACCAAAACAGTGAATGACGAGACGAGACGAGAATGGTGGATACCAACCTAGAGAAGGAGTATGAGCTGTCATGATAGATCCCCATCTTTTTCTGCCTCCTTATCATGCAGGGAGAGCTACCCTGGTACCGCATTGCGAAGCTACACATGCGGAGGCAGAGTAAGAAGATGTCATTTCTCGGAGCGTAAAAGCTACCCGGAGGTGAAGTTCAGCTTGAGGTTGAGGTTGAGGTTGACAGGGCAGAGCAACATGAAACGAGGAAGTTCGCTAAAGGCTTGGGGTTGAGCCGGTTTCATGACGAAAATAGCACTCCCAGCCTGCCGAACACACAAGGCCATTGTTAACATGTTATTTTCCGAAGGGGAAGGCGTAATTGTGCTTCGTTTCAGAAACTTCCAAATTTCGGCTCGAGGCCTTGAAGAAGTCTAGATTATGATACTAAGTATCGGGCACCCGAGGGATTTTGAAATAACTTCCAAGAATGAAGTTCTCTACAGAACCCCCCCCCCGGTAAATCGACTTTATTTTGTTAACTTGTCTAGAAGCCACTTATCCCTTGTAAAGAAAAAAAAAAAAGCCTGTTCAGAGGCCTCCGAAAAGGCCGGACCAGACTAGAAATTCGATCCTTGAGGGTACCGCAACATGTCAAGCTGTGCGTATTGATTGCGAAAGTCAGCTTCTACCTTGGACATATAATTGTTCTATGACAAGCCGGCAAGTGCAACCGTAAGAAACCGCAGCCGTAGACCGGTCTTGTGGACATGCATGCATCTTGGGCTTCGGCTGTTTCAAACCAAGCAGGGAGAACTCGGAAGTTTCAACATTACCAAGGTGATATTCGTTGCGAAGAGGAGGTGCTGCAGCCGCCATCGAACTGAAACAGCCGAATAGCCAGACAAGCGCTTGTTTCCGAAAACTCGTGGCTGGACCAATATCTGATAAGGTACTTAGTCTATGATGGCTGGTGGATGACTGGGGACAATCATTTAATCACTCAATCCAATGCAATGGTACACAGGACAGGAATTTTCCCTTCGTACCGGGGGTATGCACAAGCTTCGAAATGTGAAACGTAGCCTCCTGCACACATAACCCGATCTTGGAATAGTATTAATCGATAACGACCTGTATCTGAAACGTAAGTCCGATGAGGTGCAGAACCAATTCGACAAGAGCTCTTACATAGAAACAGGTAAGACATACTCGATGGCCCATGGGGTCAAGATGTGGATGATGTTTGTGTATAAATCGTCTGTTCCGTTCGCATTCCTTCTATTTGGGTTCTATTCGAACTGATATGAGATTCCAACATGTATGGCTTTTGAAGGGTTTCCCACCTACTACTCTACTTGAGTACTTAGGTAAGTAGGTAGGTACTTCGTAGTATGAAGTACTAAGGTAAGGAGGCAAGTACTTAGCAGTACTTAGCAGTACTTAGCAGTACTTAGCAGTATGAAGTAGGTAAGGTAGAAGGTAGCCAGTATGTTTGATGGACTCTCGTGATGTGTTGTCCTTGGACAAACAACACAACGCAAGAATATTATTCTCCGCCCCTTTCACATCACAGCAGAGCACACTGTATGCCCAACCTCCTCGCCATCAACTAACTCTCCACCGCTCTGATATATCCCCGTCACCATCCAATCAACGGACTGCCATCCTCAAATTTATTCTTTAGACATCTGGAACAACCATTTAATGTGATATTACCTTTGTATCAATGATATTTTAGCTTTCATCACATGGGTTTTGTATTTCTGGGGTTATAATTTTATTTTATTTTATTTCATTTCATTATTTTTTATTTTTTATTTTTTATTTTTTATTTTTTATTTTTTATTTTTTATTTTTTATTTTTTATTTTTTTTTACCTTTCTCGCACCTCCCTCCCTTTCCCTCTGTTAAAAGTGACCGACTTGTAACTTCCGCTTCGACCACTCCCGATTGATCCCCAGGCTACCCCCACCCTAATATCTCGATCCGAAAACCATCGTTTCTGTATGTCGTTGTGATTAAAAAGGCGAAGGGGGCAAAGTGAAGACGAGGGCGAAGGAATAACCGAAGAACGGACGTTCTTTGGCTTGCCATTCTAGCCGGAGCCTCGAGATCTCAAGTACATCGTCCGATGCCACCACCGTCCGGGGAGATGGCCCGACTGATGAAGCGGGAGGCCGACACATTGCCGAAAGGCCGGGACCAGGCCGAGCCAGAAAATGACGAAACGAGTTTGGAAAGATTCCTCGATGATTTTGATTTACAACACGGCGGGGATGTCGCTGGCGGCATTGATAGAACCGACAATCCCCGAAATCCTGAAGATGGACCTCCAACAAGAGGTCCCAACGACCACCGGTTTCCCAACGGCCCTGGGTGGCCCCCAGATTCCGACACCGTCCCGTATCCATATGCTACCCCCTCTAGGCCCTTCAACTCAATAGCCCCAATTCCCTCGCCAACTCCACTTCCCTCGTCGAATGTCTGTACGATTCCAGGTGGTATAACTACAATCTGCATTACCGGCGAGGATGGCTCGACCATAAACACAACAATTATTAGTCCCACGGACAAGTCTCCAGACCTCATATCGGAATCTAGTAACGGTATATCGTACACAACAATAACTGCCGACAACACTGGAACGGTAACAGATACTGCCACCATCGTCGTATCTGGTCAAGCCACTAGGGTCATATTTCCACAACATGACAAGACCGGCCCCCCGCCCCCGCCGAGCCCTCCGCGAGACAACCGGAGAATGAAAGATATACTGTTGGGAGTCTTTCTCGGAGCGGGATTGGTTTTATTGTTTGTTGCCTGCTTGTTTGGGTACCGGGCCTACAAACGAAAAAAACGAAATCGAGGGCTTGGTAATGACGATACCCCCACAGATTCTGAGCAACCGCAGCAGACTGCTCCTGAGATGCAGGTGACAGGTGTTGCCGTCACTATGCCTTCAATGGCAGATGCACCGACTATTCTTCCCCCGCCACCGCCCTTCATGGCCGAACATGAATCCGCAGGACCGTCGGAGGGTCCACAAATTATCTTACCAATTGGTCACATACCACCGTCACCAATCATTATCAATCCATTTTCCGACCCCACATACAACTCTTCATCTGGGATCGAGGATTATGTAGCATCCAACGGTATCCCACTAGGGAGAGAGCCAGAAAACCCATTCCTCCACCCGGACGATCGATCCTTGAATATGCTTGAGCGTCGACGGCCAAACTCTGCGGGGGACTTCCCGCCCGAGTATACTACCGTGGACGGTGATCCGACCGACTCCTCGGGTCACAGAGCTCGCGAGGAACGGTTTCCATTTGGAGATGAGGCACTGAGCTTACGGGCGGAGAGTGATGCTGGATCTATCCATACCAGGGCGGTCACAGAAACTATTCCTGGCTATCAATACGACGATCCGAACGGCGTGGCTGACGGGTTTCGATATAACCCTTCCGCTTCAAGATAGCTACCCCGATAAGCTTTCTCCTGTCCCTCTGCCCCGGGTTCGATTGTGGTTCTAGATTCTATTGGACGGTTTGGCGGTCTCCAGATTCTAGTTACTCCCCGGGGGTGGTTTCACGAAGATCTTGAGTGCGTTGTATGATTAACCGGCTTTTTTTATTGCTTATTTTCTTATCATCTTTTTCTTCTGCTTTGTCCAGGAATGGCGCAATTTCGGGTGGTGGTGTTATTCTTTTGTTTTAAACTAGGCCATAAGCCCCTGCTGTTCGTTTTGCCTATCTACTGATTCATGTTTAGATGTTCCTTTCCGATTATGCCGAGTGGGATTATGTATGCATGTGCGGGCGACATTTTCATGGACAGCGAAAAAGAAAAAGAACAAGGTAGTGTTAATGTTGAATTGATTTCTCGAAAAATCGGATGTTTGTATTTTATATGGAAATTATGATGAAAAGGGCCGTCTGAGTTCAACTGTATATATACCCGAATGCTTACCCAGACATCGACACTTACCTACTTACATATCCAGTACATACCTTAGTACTTAAACAAAAGGTCGTGGTGAACTACAAATAATTCCGCCCACACTGTGCACATACGTTTGTGCACATTTGGGTATCACGTAAGATAAGGAGTACTTACCAACTTAAGTCCGGCATCCGCGGTGCCAGGCTTGGCTATCGGCCAAGGTCTCGGCTGTGGTTCAAAAACAATAATTTGGCACAGCGAACACCAAGAATGCCCAGGCCATGATGGTGGGATGCGAACGGGAGGGGATAAGCAAGTAAGTACTTAGGTAAGTACATAGGATGTAAGTGCTAGGTAAGAGCATTCTGCCTCTGTTATCATCTAATATGTCTACCTACTAAGTATTCATCTTGTGAGACTGGCACAAGCTTAGTACTTACATCGCTAATATATATTTTATATCAATCACCCCTCTTCCTCCTAAAATCGTGCTTTTCTCTCTCTTTCCCGCTCTTCTACTTACTACCTACCTACTTAACTTACTTACCTGCTTATTTACTTACTTAAGTCTTTGTACACGTATACCTTTGCTGCAAGGTTAGTGGTAAATCTCGATTTCAATTTTCGCCAGCGCGTAAAGACATGACATGTATATCCTTAATATACATGAACATTCCCCTTCTCTTCTCTTCTTTCCTTTTCGCCCAATCCTCTCCTACTTTCTAGCCCCCCGCTCTACATCTCCGTCCTTTCCCTTGGGACCCAAGGAACGACCCCTCTGTCGCGTAAGAAAAAGTCATAGCCTTCATTGTGCAGGCGTGTTGATGACTCTCCTCCGTTGTGGGCTGGAGGGTCTCCAGGCTTCAGCGGCAGTTCTTGAGATCTAAAATAAAGGGCGGTTAGTAGGCACATGCACATGTACATATATGCATATACCGCATACTAACGCCTGTTATGCGTAAGAAATTATAAACTTCGGCGTCCTCCTATCTCTCGCCTTAATCTTAGAAACCAACTTGCTCCCTTCCCCTTAGCTTATGCCCAGCTAGCCTAGACAGGAATACTAATACCCGAGCTGGCGAATTGTTGTCGCGGTACTGATTCCGCTCGTACTCTGTAGAGTCATTTTCTTCCCTTCGACCAGATCGTATTCCAAAAGAGTGACCTTGGATGTCTTCGCCTCCTCCTCCTCCTGCCGAATTCCCCCCTCGCGATCCTAACAACTCTACCGATAGTAGCGACACCGGGTCGTTCCTGTCGCAGAAAAGCATACGGCCGCAAAACGATGCCCGGCGGCCTTCAGCAATTGCATTTGCGGAACCGGACGAGCCTCGTCGGCCTTCGGTTCAGTTCAAGCGAGATGTGCCTAATGGGAAGACCAACAGTGTGGGGAGTGGGCCTTCCAGCTCGAGCTTGGGTGCAGAAAACCGGTCTATTCGAAAGCGATCGCTAAGCTCCCCGCCCCCTCCGCCGTAAGTCGTGTTTTTCTTCTTGTCTGAGTTTCGCCTCTTCATATTACTTCATACCGTATTACGTCGTGTCGCTTTTGCTTTCGTTACGTCGTTCGGCTGTCCGTCTATCTTATCCATCCTGCTTGCGTGTTGGAGGTTTGATCCACCATTTCTTCCACCCATCGACATATTCCCTCCCTCCCTCCCTCCTCCCTCCTCCCTCCTCCCCCCGGCCACCCTTACATACATTTACTCTTATCTACAAACGAACTGGATTTTACCCCTCTTGCTTTTCATTTTATCTGCAAACTTATGATAGTCGCAAATGAGCTCACCACGAAAATGGCCATCGCTCTGTCCCCGGAAAATAGGACCTTCGTCAAGCGGGTCGGCTTTGATACATTCAGCAACAAGGATGCTACAGACTTTGCCTTGACGCTAAAGTCTAAGCACAAGGACTACAAATTCGGTAGGGGATCACGAACGTTTCTCTGTGGAACAGACCAGAACGACTACTCGACTATTGCACTAGAATGGCTTCTCGAAGAACTAGTGGATGACAACGATGAGATTGTCTGCCTTCGAGTAATTGATAAAGACTCCAAAATGGCGACTATAGACAGCTCAACCCAAGAAAAACTTTACCGTCTAGAGGCGGATAAACTTCTCCAAACAATCATAAGCAAGAACGAAGAAGATAAGGCTCTATCTATAGTTCTTGAATTCTGTGTGGGGAAAGTCCATGACACTTTCCAACGGATGGTACGTGATCACCCCTCGTGAACGAGTGAATATATACAGACATGTCACCGAGACTAAGAACCACTGTGAACTGTGAACAGATCAATTTATACGAGCCAATAATGTTGATAGTTGGTACACGGGGCCGGTCACTGGGTGGTTTCCAAGGCTTACTTCCGGGGTCGGTTTCCAAATACTGTCTCCAGCACTCGCCCGTTCCCGTGATTGTTGTTCGGCCAAACGAAAAAAGAGAGAGAAAAAAGCGGAAACGTCAGGACAATCCTGCTCGAAGGACGTACATGGACATCATGAGCAAGACACCCCAGCTATCAACAATAGATATGATGCACTCCAATAGCAGCCATAGCCGGTTATCCGCCGATACGACACCGAGCACAACCCCGGCGCCTCGGGAATCGGCGACATCCATTTCAGAGGCATCTACAAACCTTGCCAGTAAGAAGACTAATAAAGATTCAACTGGAGACTATGCGCTGTCGTTGAGCGAGAAGGTTTCGGGTTTGGAGATTACATGCAAGGCCGAATCGCCAGACACGAGTACAGGCAATGAGACCTCTCAGGGAAAAAGCTAGTGGGCTGCATTTCTAAAGCGAAGGTCCATCCGACCCTCTCAGTAATACACTGTTTGGCGATTCTAACTTATCATGTCTTCTTTCTTCCTTGACTGACAACGGTGGATGTGATATCCGCATATTTCTTTTCTTTTCTTTTTTTTTTTTTTTTCTCTCAAAACATAATTTCGTGAAAATGTGAGGATTTTTTTTACGTTGAATATATAATTAGCGATGGATGCGAGGGTGTCTATACCTCACGGGTCTCTAGATTGTTCCTATCAGGCGTGGGAAAACGCCGGAAGGATGATGATGTCGAATGATAGAACTCCTAGAGTCTATAGATCTTCCTTATTGTTTTTTTTTTTTTAGTCGTGCACATGCGCGCGCCCACAAACACTCTCCTTCTCGTTCCTTCTATCTCGCGTTTAATTTGATAATACGTGAAGTCTTGCCTTCCACCGGTATGACAAGAGTGCAGAATATATTTGTTCCAGCAAAACTGAGGGCCAAGCATTGGTCTGTTGGAGTCAAACGTGTCGTTTAAATAAAGATGGGCAAGTATATAGGTACTACTTAAGTACTTTCTTAGGTACTTACCTATTACACTTACTTTGCGCAAACCATCTATTTCTGTCCACCACCAACCCACCACTTTGAACATCGCAGAACCTTCCCTTCCCTTCACCATCCACCAATAATCCTACCATCAGCGGCCCTCTATTCCTTTTCCTGACCAACTTCCGCTATGGATTCCACCGGCCCTGATCAGACACCTTTCGAGGCTGTCACAGCTCATACTTCCAAGCTTACGAGGGTATTCCCACCGTTGCGCGACTCATTTCCCCTAATTCCACCATGACGTTAACAGAAAAACATAGCAATATCAAGCCTATTTGGATCAAGTCACGCCTCACGTTCTACCCCGATGGATTGGGACAGGTGTCCTCCTCGCCACCTTCTTCGCGAGAATCCTCTACGCGCAAGGGTGGTATATCGGTACAGTCCCTTCCAATGTCCTTACGAGTTCGCTAGGGCCCTGTGCTGACTATACTGCCACGTACTTCCTGAATAGTGGCCTACACTCTTGGAATTTACGTTCTCAACCTCTTCCTCGCCTTCCTAACCCCTAAATTCGACCCTTCCATTGAGCAAGAAGAGATGGAGGAGGGCGGACCGTCAGCCTTACCGACAAAGGCTGACGAAGAGTTCCGACCCTTCATTCGGCGGTTGCCAGAGTTTAAATTTTGGCATAGTGCCACCCGAGCCATCGCAATTGGGTTCTTCTGCTCCTGGTTCGAGCTCTTTAATATCCCAGGTACTGTGTATTCATCCGTCTAGCCCCTCTTGCTTTGAGAGGTACCTTGGCTTACCTTCTTTCCCTTTGTACAGTTTTCTGGCCAGTTCTTGTGATGTACTGGATCATCCTTTTCGTCTTGACTATGCGGCGACAAATCCAACATATGATTAAATATCGATACATTCCTTTCAGTTTTGGAAAACAGAGATACAATAGATCATAGTGCAAAGCAACTACTGAACACCCTTTTTCTACCTCGGCTCCGGCAATTCACCACTTGCCTGGATGAATTCTACCTACCAAATATCTTTTGCGATGTCGAGGGCCTAGATGGTAGTGATTTCGAACGGGCACAAGCCATCAGCTGGTAAACTTGTGTCTTGCGATCTTAAAAGGGGGGAATTTAAAATTTTTAATTCCATTCCTGGGACGTTTTAAAACCCATTATCTGCATGTCTACCCTGAACATACTCTCTGTACATTCATATCGGAGTTTTTCTTCTTCCTTTTCCGCCCCTTATTTGGTCTTTAGGCGTCGATGTCGATGAGGTTAGTGTGACCTTTTCTATTCTTACGCCCTTACACACATTACAAGTGTTTAATATAGATTTGGTGGGAATCGGCGCCAAGCGCTTGAGTTTGAAATTAATTATCAGAAAACGGACCCTCGTCTCCTTTATTCATGTGTCCATTTAACATCCTTGACTTTATTCGCAAAAGCTTCCATGCCGACTTTTTGGTCCTTAGATCCGAACAAGGCATGAAATACTCGCCTCTCGTACTTAATGCCTTCACTCAACGACAGTTCCTGGCTTTGATTGACCACCTCTTTTGCAGCCTTCATTGCCAACATTGGGTACCCTGCGATGACACTAGCAGTATCTGTGGCACCCTTCATGAGCTCTTCGAAGTTAGGGAATGCTCTTGCCGCCAATCCCCATTTCTCAGCCTCCTCCCCACTGAATGTTTTCCCGGTGAGGATGATCTCCATAGACTTGGACTTGCCGATTGCCCTTGTCAATCTCTGGGACCCGCCAGCTCCGGGGATGACGCCTAATTTAACCTCAGGTTGACCGAATGTGGCGTTGGCAGTGCAGTACAAAATATCAGCCATCATTGCCAGTTCACAACCACCCCCCAAGGCGTAACCGCTCACGGCAGCGATAGTGGGCGTATTCAAGTTCGTAATTGTAGTAGACCACAACTGAATGAAGTTCTTCGAATATGCCTGGGAGAATGTCAAATCTTTCATCTCCTTGATGTCGGCACCAGCTGCGGAATATATGAAAATTTTGAATTAGAAAATAATAGATTCTAGCATGGTGGTAAGGGTTATTTAGATATGTATCAAAATAGTTACCTGCGAAGGCCCTTTCGGAGCCAGCGATAAGGATAGCCCTAATGGAGGGGTCCTCATCTAACTTTTGGAGGGCGTCATTGAGTTCCTTGAATAGCGGGGTGGAAAGGGCATTCAATGCCTTCGGACGATTGAGAGTAACTGACGATACGTTAACAATAGCGTTTATGGCGACTGAAAATACAATGGTGCATACCCTGCCCGACACCATCGACGGGCGTTTCAACAATAATATTATCATACTGCTGAGATAACGTAGAGTTGTGGCGTACAAATATCGTTCTCAATCGAGTGGCTGGCTGTCGGGCAGCTAAGTAAGACTGCGAAGTCGGTAGGCATCGCCGGATGATGAATGTCGGTGGTCTCATCTTTTATGATAGCTAAGATGTATTCTACACGAACCCGGGGATACTTGGTATTCAAAACTCGACCCTCCGGCTACGGTTGTGGTGGTTTTATTCAATGGTGGCCATGCCCAATAGTAGTTTTCCTGGGGTTGGGTCCTGTTCCGAGGTTAACCGCGTGCCCAAACCTCAACTCGTCAATTCAAGAGAAGCTGTTGTATTTTAATTGCCAACGAGGCTTGGGGGATGAAAGGGCAGAAGGAATGCCACGCTGCTATGGGCTCCTATATGGCTTCCGGTACCCTATCTAAGCTTGTAATGAATGTAATTTTCCGCAAGTCATCGATAAGATCCTCGTCTCGGAGCACCCCACTTCCTCCGACTAATGGAGATAAAATAAAAACTAACTCCGATGCTATGCTACAAAATTCAGAATACCAATAAAACAAACAAGAAAAGAATTCGCAAGGGCCCATCGGCTAGCAAAGCGGACACTCAGCGTATGTAAATGGGGTTTTCTGAAGCAGCGCCTTGACTAGTTTGAGTAGGATCTCTAGGTTTACGGGGACCTACTTCACCTTTTGGCCGTTTCATAGGTTGACACACTGGTTCCAAGTGGGTATTTAGCAAACCCATAGGATTTGTAGCAATTACTGCTGTTCCTCGACCATTCGCTTTGAATTGGTCAACGGATTGCTTAAAAACGGGGCGCCGTGCTTGTGGTGGTTGCCGTTGCCGTTGTTGACGTGAAGTCCATTCTTCAAGGGTATCCAAGGGGTCGAAGTCATTCTCATCTATGCTGCCAACACTAACAGCGCCTGGTTGGAGTCGGGGGCCGTCTTTCATTCGGTTGCGATCTTGGGACGGCACCGCCGTTGAGCAGGCTATTAGAAGATTGGTAAATCTCTCAACTACCGGATTAGTCATGATCACTTTAGAAAGCCCACCCCAGGTAGGAAGAAGAATAGACAGGCCCTCGGGGGACCGACTCCTCGAGAGCGCTACATAGGATTGTCCGGCGGCAAATGATTTTCGGATGTCAACTGTAGTGTAGTCGAGCGTCATTCCCTGAGATTTATGGATTGTCGTCGCCCAGGCTAGTGTGAGTGGTATTTGAATTCGTTGGAGTAGAGCAGACCTTGATTCGTCAATGTATGCTTTACTATCCCAGGCTACAGGGAATATCGGAATAGGGGGCCTCGGGGTCATGCCCCCCCCTGGCCGAACAGACGCCGCCGTAGCTAATGGTAGGAACGATACCAAAGGTATGCTTACATACCCGTCCTTTTGTTTGGAATCGAAAAAAACCTTTAGGATAGCTTTACTGGATTTTTCAGATCGCGCATTTTCCAAAAGCTTTTCTAGAGTGAAACGCTGGAATCCCTTTACGATCCCTCTTGATCCGTTCACCAGTTGGTTCTTCACATCTAAGTTACTAACCAGCATTACCTGGGCGTTCATTTTCAGCTTCAATTCCCTAGTTGCCTGGAGAGTGTTGAAGTAGATGTCTAAAGTAAATCAGCATATAAGCGAGGCACCGCAAGCCCACTCGGATCCACATACTATAGGGGCTTCCGACGATCATATGAAACGGTATTGTCTGAGTCCGATCGATAACTACCGAATCCTCTGTACGAGGAACAACCCAACCCCCATCTATCGACTTAACGAAGTACTCTTCGCCGGGTAGCTCGTTCAGCCCTTGCTGGTTCTCGGCGTCAACATCTCTTCGGTGCGAATACAAGTTAGTGGCACGAATGCCATTGGGGAGCTGCGGTAATGGTCGGACAAGCCGTCGTAGATAACTTTCGACTTCGGGGGTCACTGTTTAGGAATAAGTTCCCGCAGTGTAAACAAATGCCAGCCTTTATGATTGGGAAAGGGGCCACCTACAGTTGGAGTGTTTGATGGAATCCAATATATTGACCCATTCCTGGTCGCTTTGTCGGTGAACCTTCGTAAGAACCAGGCTTTTAAAGCTCAAGCTTTGCCAGGTTTCCGTTTGGAACACGAATTTAACTATCAAATTAGTTAGTAGTTAATAGGTAGAATACCATTTCTCGCGCACTCTCTGTCCCTCTCTTTTTTTTCGTTTAATGAGAATTCGCTGTAGTACATACCTGAGTCATTCATGCGAGATTGGCAATTTTTCCCTTTGCAGATCAGCCATCTATTGTCATCGACGAGTTCCGGGAAATAGCAACCGTTCGCGGCTAGCGGGCCGTCAAGAAAACTTTTTCCTGTAAGATATCTTCTTTCGGCTTTTGGCGGGAAAGGTTCTGCACAGTGGAGGCAGTTCTTTTTGTCCTCACGTTCGACGGGTGGGAGTTGGTAGAAATCACCACAAACGATAACCTGCATGCCCCCAAACGGTTCTGAGGACATTTTGCCACCTCCTCTATGAAATCTCGCTATCCTATCTGCCTTCCCCCAAAGATCGGGGCTAACCATCGATATTTCGTCCACAATAAGTACATCGGTTTCTTGCATTTTTTTTCGAATAACTTCCGAAAAATCGCCCCTAGTTCGCAGGTAATGTTGAAGGCCCTGTTCACCCGTACCCAGACCAAAGAACGAATTGATTGTCACACCCTGTACAAGCACTGCAGCGATTCCGGTTGGGGCCGTCACAGCGTAGACAAGATTGTCTTTGGATAGCTTGTATTTTATGTGGGCTAACACAAGGGATTTCCCAGTGCCTGCAGGCCCAGTGAAGAAAACGTTATCGCCCTTCAAAACCGCCTGCAGAATATTATCTTGTTCTGGGGTCAGAGGTATCGCCGGTTCCTCCACTATGTGTGGTAGACTCTTGACTTCATCACTGGTTTCTGGGAGAGATATATGTTCAGATGGCACAACGGCAGAGTGAGAGGGTCGCACCATTGATAATTCGGGTTCAACTTCCTCAAGGCAGCTCATAAAAGAGCCGTCTGAGGATGGTGGTGGTGATGCGAAATCCACTGCACAGTTCATGATTCTTGAATCCTCACCCTGCCGAGGGGTTTTCTTAGGGCGGATAGGTTCGAGGGTGAGCAGGCTTTTGTTACTTGTATTGGGACGAGCTCGTTTGACTCTAGGCTCCGTCTGTGCCCCGATCTCATCTTTGTAGGTTTCAAGCCACCAATTCATGGCCTCCGACCTTGTAGAGAAGGCTTTATAGACAGCTCCTGGGTACCCATCGACATACAGACGGACTTGGTCCCTAAACCAAAGGGTGAGCGGAAGATCGAGAGGGGGACCAAAAAAAGTTCTATTACCATGGTAAGTCAAATATTCCGGTAGTTGTCCCTTTGGCAACGGCGTAAAACTTTTGTTTCTGCTTTTGCTTCCCCATTATGCATTATAGCTATAGCCAGACCAGGGCGGTGGGTGGAGATCCCATAGGTTAGAGGAATATAGACTGAGTGATTCCTTAATAAGGTGGAATCAGAGGGATAAAAGAGACCTAGGGGGCGTTCGGGTGCTTTCTGGAGTTACGGCGTCCAAAGCAACTGCATATGCACGATCGATATCGCGATTGTGACTGTGAGAGTTGGAGTTCGAGACGGCGCGTTCTTGTCACGTGGTAACACGTGATATACAATACAACCTGCTTCGTACGTGCAGGCCGGAAAACGGAAGCTCCGTTATGGGACACCATCTGTCAGCGTAAGCTTCGAGGCGGAGGGATCGGATTTTGCATGTCCCCGATCCAGGAAATAGTCCCGACCAGGCCCAGGTCGATCCGGCTGTTTTCGCTTACACCGCTGGTGCCAAAGCCGAGAGGCCATGTCCCTACTGTCTCGCCCCCTTCTGCCGAATGCGGCACTCATAACCCCGATCTCACAAGCCGGCATTTTTCAGTTTTCAAATTCTGCAGGAAAATTCACAGTTAATACCTAGGTACGCATGCGTAGCAACGACTGTGGTTTATGTAGATGCGGTATTAAAGTAAAGGTTGATAGCTTTGATTCTAATATATACTTAAATATATATATATATATATATTTTACAAGGCGATGTGTCCAATGATATAGGTACGGACTTAAAGTAAGTACCTACTTAGGTAAGTATTTATGTACAAGAATATCGGGAATTGTGTGTAGATGGTATAGCCAATAAAGAGAAACCCTGTTCCTAACGCCCGACCCAAAGATACAAATTACGATCCCGAGACATATGATATAGATGGGAAAAACTAGGCCAAACAGGCCGAAAGCAAAATGCAAGAGAAAAATAAAATATCCCATCGCTGATGCACGCGTCAATGGTATCCTGAAAGAAAAAGATGTTTGTAACCCAAAATCAGAAGAAGAAAAAGGAAAAGAAGATAACCCGCTCATCATCATGAATGTTCGTCATTCGTTCCTGCCGAAGAGTTCGTAAGTTCCCAAGGGGCTCGCGAGAACAACGTGTGATTATATAGATTCATTTTTAGAACGCCGGTATTATGTTCGATGATGAGTAATACGTGGATTCTACGAGAGTGGTTGTTGAATTGTAGAAGCCAGTTCCACCAATTTGTTTCTTATTCTTTGATTCGTAGAAAATTGGTTCTGCCAAAGTAGGCTGTGGTGGTGAAGGTGGTAGGCTTTCGGAATCCGATTCGTCATCTTCGATAAGTTCGGGGGGGCTCATCGGGGCATGTGATGAGGTCCTCCTCAAAGCATAAAAGCCATCCTCCTCCTCTTCGAAATCTTCATCGGCATCAACCTCGTCAACGTCGATGACAGTTTTGCTGTAATCGTACACTGGGTACCTGGGAACGGATACGATGTGATTCGATTCCAGTTCATAATCATCTTCGCTCTCATCTTCGCTGCTCTCGGATGCCGGGTAGTCCTCTGCGAGCGAACCAATGTGTTCTTCTTCGTCCTCCTCGGAGATAGTGTCCATGATATCAGATTCATCTTCCTCTGTAGAGTTTCCGCGAACCATGGCATTGAACCAGGCGTCTTGTTCCCTCTCGGCTGTCTGCAGGTGAAGCATTAATCGGTCAAGAAGATTCGCGTGGCCGACAAGGAGTCTGAGGTCGTGATCAGACTTGGAAGCTTCAGATGATAGTTTGCTTCGAGCCTTGTGGGCGAGATAGAAAGTTTGTGTGATGGACATTTTGGATTGTTTTGAAGACTGTTGCTGTCTTCGAGCTTGTAATAATGCTGGATGTATTGAAGCAGACATTGTGAAGGAGAAAGAATGAATGGGGAAGGTAGCAGGAATTTAATAGTTGTACTATGTGGTGTTTGTTGGGTGGAGGATCTAGATGGATGGCGGAGTTCTATTGGCGGGTAGGACAATATGAGTCAGTTTGGTGCAGCACACTCCGAATTCGAATTTGAAAGTTGTCAAAATTCCAACGGGCGGGTCTGATGTATTAAGTATGTGTGTGAGTACTAAGAAATAATACATGTAGCAGGACAGGTAATGTTTGATTTGAGGAAACGAAGCCGGCTTTATAATCAAAGTCGGTTACCAATGAAGCTTATTTGATGGTGGGGGACAGAGTTGAATGTGCAGGACGTAAGGACCGGTATATTTCCTTTTTGCCGTGCTTGAGTCCGCCGGAGTCAAAAGGAATTTAGGAATTCCGAAGGCCGAACTTAGTAAAAATACGAGGGCTTTCGTAAACGAAAAAAATGAGAAAAAGAAATTTAAAAGGGAAGGGAGAACGGGACGGCCGAGGAGGGCTAATCCAAGCAGAGGCTGACAAACAAACCAAAAAAAAACCCTTGTTGAAACTCACCTCTGCACCCGAAAAAAAGCTGAACTGGAGGACGTTGTTTGACGGAGTGTTTGGGCTCTAATTATACTCGGAGACATACGTACATTACATGAGCTTTTTGATATTTTGATGATCAGATGGTTGTCGAGAACTGGCAGCCTGATGGAGAGCGGGCGTGATGATGTTTTTATCCTTCATAAAAAGCCTTATTCTTCTTCTTCTTATTCTTCCTCTTCGATCCTCTTCAACCCTCCGCTGTTTAAAAAATTCATGACGACGCAGCCCACGACAACAGGGACCAAAGGAAAAAGGAAACATACATACATACTTACTTACTTACTTACTTACTTACTTACTGACTTACTTACTTACTTACATCACAGTCTGGAGGACAGGGTCATGCAGCCTCGCACAGCACTTGCGTGGAAGTAGCAAGTAACACATCACCGACTACAACCGATTACATGGCTTTTAGGGCTGCACGGCTTTTTCGTGGTTTACGGAACTCAGGCCAGGCGGAGCTACTCCGTAAATGGGCAAAAGTATCCGCCTTATTCCACCGCCGTCTGCCCAAAAGCCTTGCACTGTCGGATGACAAGCCTTGCAAGCTTGATCAATTGACCAGGCCGCTTGCCAATGACCACGATTGATCCGTCGGCCTCCATCAGCTGAGTAATCGGACCGACCAACTGACTGCCTGGAGAAGGGAGTGACTCTATCAAGCGAGAATTACGGGCCCCACTAGCACCGATGCGTACACACACAACACGCACACACATGCATTTCATATGAATTCATTTTGATTCTAATTACCATTCATTGGATTTATTAAGCGGGCGGTGCGGTATCCGACTTCTTATACTTACTTGGTAAAAGTATTCTAGAGCCTACGATGGTCTGGATCCTCATCCTACAAAATTCAGTCGAATTCGGTACACGATTTAAGTAATCCGACCTGAATGACTGGGGAATCCGACATTCTGCAATCCCTTGCAGGTTAGGACGCTGCAGAGTCGAGATCCAGTGAAACGGGATGGATTGGGTACGAAACTACCTTTTCGTACGAGCAATCCTAATACATGTATGTATACAGCGCATCGTCAGCATCGAAAATGGGAACTGTAAACTGCAGTTAACCGTAAATTGGGGATTGGAAACCACCTTGACTTCTTGAAAATTTTTGAGCTGGCCTTGTCGGGAGCTCGGGTTTTTGGTTATCTCCACGGCCGGCCGAACAGCGAGCACTAACCCACATGGGAGCTCTGCCTTTGCTGACTGACTGACTAATGCCCGCCCTTTCGCTAAAAAAAAAACCCTTCGCTTCATCTGGATACTTAAGTATTTACATACATATGTGCGTTATTGAAGTCGGGTTGATCCGAGGGAATGCTGTTTCCCATCACCCGGATCCTCTCTAGTACTATCTACATGCTCTGTCTGTCCAGGGTATTTGGCTGAAGTAATCGCTCTATGTCGTCACCGTTCAGTCTTTTCTTCTTCTTCCCTTCCTTCCCTATTTTCCCCTCCTAGCCCAGGCCTAATATAATAATCTCATATGTAGGTATGTAAGTAAAGTAAGTACTTACTCAAGAAAAAGCCAAGTACTTAAAAAATAATTTGTTCGATGAACCTGCCGTCGGCGGTGCCGACAAATCTTCGACTTATCTTCGACTTCCTAAAATTTAGGGCTGAATTGCATGCAGTATACGTACTGCAACATTCCAGATAGTATTTGTTATCAGAAGTAAACCGAAAGTCCCTAGTAATCTCCAACATGCAATATTTCGGAGAAACAGATTCCCTAGACGCACTCAACGTCATATTTGATCCGCCATGATAGATCCAATGATACCATTCCCGAATCCAAATGTAATGTAACGGTACCTACATACTTCTTTTGTCCATAACCACAAAATTTGTGTAGCCGGACCGCACATATCTGCGGAGCTCAATGCAATTCGAAAATTCTAGCGAGCTTCTTTTCACTTTAACCGAGAACCAATTCAAACCCATTCCCAGTTGGGCTATGAAATCCTTGTCTGGGGTCATTAAACTCTGCATCATCATCGGAAACGATAGGTTAATTAAACCAGAGAGCCTTCAGCGGTTTCCCGTTACTGCTTGTTCCCGGGTCTCTTATACGATCATACGAGCTTAGGTAGTATAGTCGGGAGAAAGAAGAAAAGGAAGAGGAAGATTCCCACCAATCAGTTGACATTAACCGCAAGGGGATGTTATGATGCCATCCGTTGCATTGCATTTTCGTATTCTCAATACGCAATCCTCAAACTATAAAAGTAAATGAGAAGAATAATATATGAAAATTTTCATTATGCCCATTCGTCATGCATAAGCGATGTGGTAGGGCTGAAGGCCCCGGTTGAATAACACCATTGTAACAAAACAAAGCAAAGTAGGTGTACACGAACGAGACAAAATACAGCTATCTACGGTAATGTAAAATATAAAATAACCCGAGGAGAAAAAAAGAAAAAGAAAAAGGAAAAAAAAAAAAAATTTAGGTAGGAAAATAAGAGAGGGGAGGGAAAAAAGTGAAGAAGAATGGGAGGGCATCTCTTAGCATAAAATCGTCCAGAAAAATACATTACTCTAGGTATACAGTTTTTACGCTTCGAAGGCCCAGATCTAAAACAATAGAAAGGGAAAATAATTTTAGCCACTGTCATTATTCTCAAATTGGGGGGTTTGGGTTTGGGTTTGGGTTTGTATTCGCGATTAATGCATACCTCAAGTTTCCCCGTTTCGGACTTAGCACGCTTTGCAGCCCTCTTACAGGCGGAGAGCTGAAGGTCGAGGTCCTCCTGGTCAGCGACTAAGATCTGCTCACCATCTTCATCACGGACTTTGAATTTGCAAGCCCGTTCCATGCCAAGTTTTGTTTTTAATTTGTAAGTAAACTCATTAAACCCAATCCCGGGCGTGATCACCGTTAATCGGGTTTCTTCTTCATAGTGGATCTTCACATTGATCTAGATTTATAGGAGTCGTTAAATATTTTCAGTGAGGACGATATTTGCTACCAAATGGGAAACTTACCTTTCTCACGTCAAGGGGACGACGGTTGCCGCCTCTCTTGCTACCACGTGCACTAACAAGGTCAAACTCCTCGTCGTCCTCGAAGTCTTCGTCACCATCACTTTGATAATCATCGTTATACTGTGGTGGCGGCTGTCTTCGAGGCTCCCTGCGTGACCCTTCTGATGGTCGTCTCGAGCTTCCACCCCTCCCACTGTGCTCGGAACCATAGTAGTCATAGACATCATCATAGTATTCCTCGTCCTCATGATGTTCATCTCGTCTCCTTCCCCCCCTCGAGCTTGGAGGAGGAGGCCTTTGCCGAGAACTTTGATAACTCCTATCACTCCGGGCACTTCCGCGCCTTCCAGAAGGCTGTTGTGGCTCGTCATCGTCGTCCTGCTCTTCTTCTGGGACGTATCCCATCTCATCCCGCCTACGCCTGTCTCTCCCAGCATCTCGCTTGCTAGTTTGACGAGAGGGTGCTTGTTTGACTGGGAAAGCCGCGCCATTATCTCGAAGGCGATTAGAACCGGGATCTTTCTCCGGCGGGGGTGTGGGTGGGAACACCTGTCGCTCTTGGCTTCGGGGAATACTTGTATTCGGGTTTGCGTTCGAAGCTTCTTCTGTCCTCTTTGAAGTTTTGTTCGGGATTACTAAGTTTGATGCAGCGAATGATAGCGACTCTGTCGGTCTATCGTCAACTGGTTCAACAATCCTCTTAGACTCCGTACCGGAGAAACCAGTGAAAGTGTTATTCGCATCCGTTGCTGCGACTAACCTCGCCTTTCCGAGATAGTCTTTTGTTTTGACATTTCTAACCTTTGCGTCACTAGGTCTATAGAGCACCCCGACAGGAATTGAAAACACGGTGTAGCCCTGTGCCCATATATGGTTAGTAAATACCGTTAAGATCGTGCAGGGCTCTTTTTTTATACCTCCCCTCCATCACGAATCGCCTCGTCGATGACACCATGGTCATCTACTTGCTTTTCCTTCACCGAGTATCCCCAATCTTGCATACCAGCTTCCCTCTGATTTAGGTAGATATAGCAAAGACCACGGTTGAATAACACCTCGCAAGAATACAATCGGAATTTAAGGCCAAGTTGCTCATAGTCGATTAATGTGTTTCCTCGCAAGTACAGAAGAGAGTCATTAAAGTTGGCAAGAGCTTCTTCAAAGTCTCCTAATAAGAAGTTGGATACGCCTTGTTGAAAGTACGCGACAGCGAAGTAGTTGTCTAGCTTAACGGCCTTTTGGAATGCTATGACCTATGTTCGAGGCATTCGTTAGTATACATAATACGGCCGAAATATTGTTAGGAACTTACAGCTTTCTCGTGCTCTCCCAGGGTGGCGTGGATTACACCGATGTTGAAGAGAATTTTAGAAGTATCTCCAATTCTATCAAATTGCCGCAATGCTTCATCGTATTCGTTTCCATCATAGTGCTTAATCGCTTGCACCCAAATCTCGATTTCCTATCAAGGGGGGCGTCAGCTCCTACTTCTCCTATGGACTCTATAACATTCTGTAAGCCCACCTGTTTCAACGACATGATAGTGACGTTCACTTAGGTCGCCTATGGGTAGGGTGAATATGCCGGTGTGCCTGACGTGTCTGATAGCGTCGTTGACTATACTATATACCGATCGAGTGGTCGATTGGCACCAACTGAAAAGGGTCCTCGGGTAGGTAATGCCGTCGCCGATGATGTCGTAGTACTTAACTATCGGGTCGGATTCGGGCAAATCGGTGTATAATATATACAAGTAGTCGGCGCTCTAGGGCTTATACTACGTGAGTGCTTAGGTTTCTTAACTAAGTACGTAAATTAATTGTTAGGATTCCTGCTACTGCCACATGCAAACGTAATGATAGCGAGGACTGCGTTGAAAGGATGGGATGATATGGATGTAAAGGGGAAGCGAACAAGTTTCTCCAGGCCCATCCAAGTTAAGTATATTTATTCATTGAAGATACACTTCCAAGATGCTGGGTAGTCGCTGATTGGTTGTTCAATGGAAATAGCGACACTCACATGGGACCAGTCAAAATAATGCTGCCAGCCGAATTAAAGGAAGAAACACACGGCAGCAGGGCCAGTAACGGTCTGCAAATTAATCGGGCCACAGGAACACTGCGAGGGCTGTCGACGAATGGAAAGCTGTGCTGCTGGTTGTAGGCGCCGATTAGTACTTGATCCCCACTCCTGGCAACCCACCACTCCAACACGCATACTTGCAGGCGGTGAGGGGATACTTGAGTACTCAAGTACCTCTGAGGTACTTACTTTACTTATGTAAAATGAATGTCTGCTATGTATAAGATACTGCGCCCTAGAGACACCGCTTGAAACTTCTGAATGTGTTTTTTGAGATTGATGCGCCGTTTGACTGATCGAGCGAGAAAGTCCACGGGAGAAAATGTCCTCCGAGAAACTACGAGTCCAGCCCGTATGAGAGAGGGGGCGGTGGGAAATACTAGGATGGAACTTGGGTCCAAAAAAGTATAGAGGAAGAACGACGGGACGGAGTCGCTGGGAATGACAAGCCCGCTGTTGCTGAATCGGGGACCGTGGCGCTTAGAAGGAAGCCTCAACTCTGGGCGAGATACTTTATGTGATCGAAAGATCAAGATCGTGGATCCAAACGGAAGGAAAGTTTCTTGAACAGAAAAAAAAAATAATAAAAAAATAAAGATAAAATAAAAATAAAGATAAAATAAAATAAAAAATAAAAAACCGATTCAACAGTCTATGTATCAAAAGAGTGAAAGAGGGACCTGCTCTAAGAAGAATTGAAAGTTGTAAGATTGTTGTTTGAAAAAAAAATAAACGAATGTGGTGAGCTTCGGCGAGGAAGAAAGAAGAGAGAAGAGGGAGGGAAAAAAAAAAAAAAAAAAAAAAAACCAATAAGATCGGGGTCGAAGGGCCGCCGGCATACTTAACCCAAGATCTTCACGAGTTTCTTTAGCCTCATGGCGGAGGATATCACCCTGTACACAGCACTATGGAGGGGGTATATTTTGGTATCGTGAGTCGCCCAGACTCGAAACAAGAATGGCTGCCCCTTGCTCTCGAGATCTCGTTTCATCAAGTTTTCTCTCTTCTATTATATCCCCAACGACACACCAATAACACAAATGTCGACTACATGTACTTAAGCAGCCCAATGTCCCATCATCTGATAACCCTCTGACAGTCGCATGATTCCAAAGATCACAATGATCGCCAGCCAGAACCTCTGTTGTGGCTTTGGTCCACTTTCTTTCGGGATCTGCTCGAAACGCTATTTGGACCCGAAACTGTTTGAGGGGGAGACGTCAACCGTCTCGGGCCATGTCTGGGGCCACCCCTGGCCATGCCTAGCCAATTATGTAGAATCGGCAGCCTGGGTTTTGGTTGTTTGTGCATTTATGTGTGGAGCTAAGGACTTAATTACTTAGTAACATATGCATACTTACTTGATATACATGGCCTTGGTTCGATCTCAAGAACAATTATCGAAATCAGTTGAGGATGTTGCGACATTCCCTTCACGTATCTCGTACACAAGAAGCGCGGTGTTTAAGTTCGTGTTCTTCGATTGACCTCAGTTATAACATTCCTTTCTCCTTTTGCTCGACTCTTTCCTCCCAGACAGTTTTGCCAGAGCAAGAACACACAACTTTATCATTTTCCCACATCCCTGCGCTTCGAGCTATCACGCCGACGAGAGATGCTTCGTCATTTCGATTGGGAGGTTCTGCGATCGGTGAGAGAACCATGCTTCTTCCAATGAGCTCCCAAACAGCAATACTAGCATCAATAATAATACCGCCCGATCCCTCACTACCAACCTCAATCTGTCCAAGCTTGCCCCGAGCTTCAGTACCCATCGTCTCTTCTTCCCACACACCACCGGTTGAAGCAGCACCTCTAGATATATCCCCGTTTTGTCGTATGCTCGCTTGGTAAGTCCCAGGTATGAGGCCCTTGAGACTGATGTCAACTATTGTAAAATCCGGCCCAACCTGAACCAGTCTCGCGAGGCCACGCACAGTAGTCTCTGTATTGGGTGCATGGGTTTCCAGGATGCAGACAGCAGCGCCTATTATCTCTATTAGTACGTTACCATGAGCTGAGACAATATGCGTTTCCTACTGTTTGGGTTCCCAGTGCCCCTCAAGATACAATCTTTCCCAGTTTCTCGGAGCGAAGCGGATATCTTCGAAGGAGCAGCTGTACCTTCAACTTCAACTAGCTGCTGTTCAAGGTGGCAATCGACGTTTAGTATTCCTACGGCTGATAATTAGTACCGGTCTGGGGGGCCTCCAAAACACCATTTGCCCTGAGCGGTTTTCTTACCTTCAACCTGAGATAGGGCATTCTTGACGCTATTGATGCAACCTTCGCAATGGAGAGGCACTGCAAACAAAGTCTATAGATGTAGTGCATCCATCAGTCTCGGGAAGGCTGGATTTTGATGACACGATAATAGTACCTTGAAAGGTGGCCGTTCTCGCATTC